TGTACAGCTCCTCTAGGATGATCCCATTGAGGAAAGCAGTTGTGATGTCCATCTGCTTGATCCTCCATCCAAGGTTTGCAGCCGTTCCCAACATCACCCTTAGTGTAGTTCCTTTCCCCACAGGAGCAAAGATCTCATCAAAGTCCTTCCCCTTTGTCTGCTGGAACCCCTTAGCCACAAGCCTTGACTTGTAGCGGGTGAGCTCATCATCAGGTCCGTACTTGTGCCTGAAGATCAGCTTGGAAGAAATGGCCTTCTTCCCAGGAGGTAGCTCACATAGCTCCCATGTCTCATTCTCCAGCAGAGAGTCATACTCCTCCTTCACACTCTGCTTCCACTTCTCAGCATCGGGCCCACTCAAGGCCTCAGCTAGCGTCTTGGGCTCAGGGACGGCTGCCCAGTAGCAGTGTGCTATCTCATCCTCATCACACTGCTCAGCCACACTCCCAGCCCGTACCACCTTTGGCTTTCCAAAACTAGGATAGGTCAGCCTGTTAGGAGGGCGCACATCCCTCCTAGGTCGGTCTGGCGGACGTTGGGTACGTGGTGGAGCATCTTGCTGCTGCTGCTCCTCCACCTCAGGTTCTCCCCCATCCTCAGTCACCCCAGAGATCTCCTCATCTGAGACAGTGACCTGCACTTGCCTCGAAGGCCGTTGCACCTCATCGGCCTCAATAATCAGCGGTGTAGTAGGAAGCTTCTGCTGCTGCTGCTTCCACTCCTTGTAGTACAAGGACTCAAGGAACTTCACATCCCTTGACACAGTTAGCTGCTGGCTGGTCAAGTCCCATATCAACCAGCCCTTGTGATCCTTAGCAAGCCCCAAGTGTACTCCCCATTTCCCAGAAGCCTCCAACTTTCCCCTCTTCTCCTTAGGCACATGAAACACCACCATGCAGCCATAGGCTCTCAGCATGTTGACTGCTGGTGCACTCCCATACCACTTGGTGTAGGAGACCCACTGCTTGTCCCCCACAGTCGCCAACACCCTGTTCTTCACAAGGGCGACCTGCCGCAGTGCAGTCACCCAAAACGGATCCGGCAGCCCTGCACGCCCAAGGAGAGTGCGAGCACCTTCCTGCAGGGTCCGGTTGAAGCGCTCAGCCACGCCGTTCTGCTGAGGGTTGTAGGGCACTGTGAGCTGATGCTGGATCCCCTTCTTCTTCAGCACCGCCTCAAAATCAGCGCCAATGAATTCTCCCCCGTTGTCAGTGCGGATCACCTTCACCTTGTGTCCGCTCTCCCTTTGAGCTCTCGGCATCCACTCCTTAAGAACAGCCGCTGCCACCTCCCCCTTAGTGTAGAGAGGGTACACCCACACGGCACGCGTGTGGTCGTCCATAATGGTTAAGAAGTAGCGGCTGCCCGAGAGAGAAGGGGCCCTCGTAGGGCCCACCACATCCATGTGCACAAGTGCGAGCGGGGCCTGGTCCCGTGCCGCTGCTGAAGGGAAACTTCGTGAACTTGGTCTCAAGGCATGTAGGGCAGCTTCCAACCTCCTTTGCTGCCCCCTTCACCTCCAACCTCTTCAAGCTCCCATCATTCACTAACTTCTGCAGCATAGAAAAATTCACATGACACAGCCTCTCGTGCCACGTCTCCCAATCAGCCTCACCACTTCCAGATGAAGCCTTTGCCCATGCAGCTGTCGCATCCACACCAGCAAGCACCTCACCATGTGGCTGCTGTGGTTGCTGCACCTTCTTGACTGCATCCATGGCCCCATCAGTTGGTGCAATCTCCTCTCCTCCTGCAGTTGCCTTTGCCGTTGCTGCTGCCGCTGCCGTTGCTGGAGGTTTCCCGTTCCAAGGGATGATGGGCAGCTGCCACAGGTCCTTGATACAGCTGCTCTTCTCCTCCAGGTTCCACAGCAGCAGCTTACCAAGCTTTGCACGACAGCTGGTTGGGTCAAAGGTCACTTTGGCCTTGCTCTTCTGCAGCCGGCGCACAGAAAGAAGGTTAGCGGACAAGCCTTCAACCAACAACACATTCCCCAGCCCCACAAGCCCCCCATTGGCTCCCATCACCTTGGCATTCCCAACACCAATCACAGGGAGCAAAGCACCTGAAGCGGCAGCCACAAACTTAATCTTTCCAGGGGGCTTTACCTCGTCAAGCAAATCTGCCCGTGGGGTCATGTGACTTGTGCAACCTGAATCTATCACCCAGTGAGTGAGGGGGTGCATCACAACCTTCCCAACTGAGCCCACATCACCCTCACTCCCTTTCACATCCTCAACCATGAGGAACATCCCAGGGTTGGCTTTACCTTGTGCACCTGAACCTTGTGCACCTGAACCTTGCACAGCGCCACCTCGTGCACGTTCACCACTTGGCGGCTTCATGCCTGGAGGCGCCCATCCCTCAGGTCGGCTGAAACACTTGAACCACGGGTGTCCAGCCTTCTTGCAGTACCAACACGCACCCTCCATTTGGGTGCTCCCCCTGCCACCAGAGCTCCCATGCCCCTCATTGTAGTCACCTCGGCCTCTCCCTCTGCCAAAACCTCTCCCACGGCCTTGGCCTCTCCCTCCCCCTCTTCCTCTGCTGCCTCCTGCAGCTCCATACCCCTCAGCAGTTTTGTTGGCAGCACCACCACCCGTGTGGCGCCTGCGGAAGTCCTCCTGCAGAATCTGCTGCCGTAGCCACTCAGGTGTCCACTAGTCCTGCTGGGTGTTGAGGGTGGGGATGAGGTTGTCCCACGAGTTGTCGAGCACCGAGATGATCTTGGTGCACTGCTGCATCTGCGACACATTGCTGCCCGCCGCTGCCATCCTCGCATAGGTGTCCTTGATCTTGTCAAGGACCAGCTTCACATCATCGCCGGGTCGCATGGAGAGGGCAGCCAGCTCCTTCTCCAACACAATCACCATCGGCAGCGTGTTGGGCTGAATCACGTCGCGCAGTAGCTTCCACGCCTTTGGTCCGGAATCATCCAACTCCACCAAATCCTTGATGTGTTGGAACATATCGTTGTTGACCGATTGGAGGATTAGGTCGTACAGCACCGCACTCTTCTCAATCCACCGATCGCGGGCATCTCCTTCCTCCGGCATCTTCTCTTCACCCATCGCAAGTTTCAGCAGCTTGTAGCGCTTGAATGCACTCCGCATCCGCCCGCTCCATTCCTCATAGTTTGAGCCATCCAATGCCTCGATCTTGGATGGTGACGGCTCATTTCTCTCCTCAGCTGCATCTCCACTCCTTTGACTCATTTCCTCTGCTCCCAAACACAGGTTCCAGCTCCCCCTTTGCTGTCCACACCGAAGTCCCACTCAATTTCCACAAGTGTCGGCGCCAACGAAATTTCGGCAGAGTTTCCCCTTTGCGGAAGTCACATGCAACCTCCAGAACTCCACTTAGGCACGCCCACAGGCCATGGTGGGTCTATGAGGGTCTTCACACTTCAGTAGACTCTCCACAAAGTCCTTAATCAGCTCTGATATCACTTGTTAGAGACTAAGGACGGAGTCTATGAAGATTAGGGGCTGAAATATCTCAAAATCGTCAACTACAATTCTGGACAGAAAAGTCGTCTTCACAAGAAACGTTGTCGACGATTAACGCACCGTTAGAATTCTCTCAAACTCGATTATGTTGTAGCCCTTGACCGTGGCTATCTTTCTCAATTTGAATAGTATAAAAATATGGAGTATAACTCGAGTTATGAACTTCGGCGCACTAGGGGGTATGCTGCCATAGAAAACGTAACTCAATCACAATTATCTCACAAGTTCACACAAGAAAGTTGGAGTAGCAATTGAACCAGGTAGGAGGGGATGAGGAGGACGAGAGGGAAGGTCCCAAGGGAGTCCCCAACCAAGGAAACCCCATACCACACAATTCCCCTCTCTATAGGCACCCCAACTTTGACATTTGTCACTTTCCCAACTCATGCCATCCACCTCACCCAACTTGGCCACACTTGCCAACCTGGTTTGGCTTCTCCCAACCACTTGGCATCATCTACAGTGATGGTATCGAATTTCCCAACCCCCAAAAGTCTGTACCCCATATTGAGTCAACCCGCAAATTCCCATAGTCGCCGCATCTCAATCAAAACTTCGAACGATCGTATCTTTCTTGTTCTTGCTTCGATCGCGGCGATTCTCTGTTCGTCGGGAAGCTCTTAAGCAGAGGAGTCACTTCAGATATCTGCCCAAGCCAAATAGCATTCACACACACTCAGAAAATCCAAACCATGCCAAACACAGATTCTTGCACACACCACGCATGCAACGCACGAACATATGATGGGAGGTAGACAGACGTGAATGCAAATGATAGCATCACATAACAGATGGTTATATCGGGGATGTACTGCCAATACGTGCAGCTGCTGCACCCCGCGCACGTGTTGCAGCACGTCTGGGGGGACGCCTTCTTGAGCGTCAGCGGGTTGCCCTTCACGTACACCTCCACGCCCAGCTTGTTCTTGAGCAGGTTCGACGTCTTCCACTTGGCAGCGATGCCGCCCTTGCTGCAGTTGGCGGGCGTGCACGCGCCGTCCCCGGGTTTGCCCAGGTCCTTGTGGCACTTTATTTTGTTCCATCCGGCCGCTTTCACGTCCACCATCAGCATGCTGTCCGTGCTCAGGCTCACGATAGTCGTCCCCTCGAACTTGGCTGACACCCCATCATCCCACGCCCCGCTGTGTGAATTCTGGGAACTTTATATGTTTATGGTAATGTGTTTCCATTTGCACATGCTCCACACAAGGTGAACATACTGCATACAGAGGACAACACAAGACAAGCAAACCAAGATTCTCTGTGCACCTGCTTCACATGCTCATCTCCACACCTTACTCCTATCCCTGCTTTCCACCCCGAGAGAGTACTGCTCTATGTGCAGAACCAACCTCTCCAGCTATCCCCAACATTATATCATATATCAAATCACACTTTAGTGAAGTATATTTAAATAGCACACCTTGTAACTGGAGCACCTGCTACAGCAGTGCTCTAACCCTCAGACTGCAGCATCAGGTGGTGTCCCCGCTAATTGTTGCTCTCGGCTTTACTGGGAACAGGCTTGGAGTTGACTTGGGAGGAGGAGCGGGGCGGGGAGAAGGGCGAGGTGGGGGAGGAGCGCAGGGGGGCGGGCTTGTCTCGCTTCTTGAAGGCGCGCTTCTTGGCCGGGTCCACCGCCACGCCCTCTGTGAAGCCGCCTATGGTTCGGAACTTGCCCACCCGCTGCTGAATCACCTCGTCCTTGCTTAGCTTCAGCAGCTCCTGCAAGGAGGGAGGGGGGAAAGGGGCCAGGTGGGAGGAGGGACGAGGAAGGCAGGACAGAAGGAGAGGAGGGATGGCAGAGGAAAGAGGGGTGAGTGAAGGGGGAGTCAGGGAGGGAGGAGAGGTGGGGGAGGAGCGGGGCGGGGAGAAGGGCGAGGTGGGGGAGGAGCGCAGGAGGGCGGGCTTGTCTCGCTTCTTGGCCGGGTCCACCGCCACGCCCTCTGTGAAGCCGCCTATGGTTCAGAACTTGCCCACCCGCTGCTGAATCACCTCCTCCTTGCTTAGCTTCAGCAGCTCCTGCATGGGGGGAGGGGAGGGGGTTGGGGAGGTGGGTAGGAGATGGGAAGGGAGAGGTTGTATTATCCGCTGCTGTATCACCTCCTTGTTGAGTTTCAGCAGCTCCTGTATAGGGAGGGGGATGGGGATGAGACAGGTGGGTGGGAGATGGGAAGGGTGAGTGGAGCGCATGGGACGGGTCTGCCACTTGCTGCTGAATGAGCTCCTTTGGCTACAGTCTCAATAGCCGGTGAAAGGGGTGGAGGACAGGCATCAGCTGGGAGGAAAGGATATATATTTTTAGAATTCTCAAAATATCACTTGTTGCTGAATGAGCTCTTCCGGCTACAGGCATCAGCTGCGAGGAAAGGGGTGGAGAACAGGCATCAGCTGGGAGGAGAGGAGAGCACGATTGGCAGAGGAAAGAGGGAAGAGGTGACGGAAGAGGGTTCGGAAGAGGGTTCGGAAGGGGAAGAAGCAGAGGAGGGCAGAGCAGAGCACAGGGGGACGGTTGTGACGCTCGTTCTCTGCATATCGCCGTCATGTGGAAAAGAAACACCCACCTTCATGTTGGCGAGAATAGCAGACCGAATGGCAAGGGATGTCTTGACGGGGTCAGCATGGGCCCCCCCCAGTGGCTCCTGCAGACAGTGAAAGGAGGGAGTGGCGGGGAGAGAGCAGCGGGTGGAAGTGGGGTGGAGTGAGCAGGGGGAACAGGGGAGGATCATTGGGGAGGTCATGGTGGAAAGAGAGGGAGATCATGGCAGGGAGAGAGTGAGCATGGTGGGGGAGAGAGAGAAAGAGCACAGTGGGGAGGAGAGGGGACTGACCGGAATGACTTCATCCACGACGTTCAGCTTCTGCAGCTCGTGTGCTGTGATCCTCAGCGCGTCTGTGGCCTGCGCGGGGTTCAGGGGCGGATTGGAGACGGGTGGAGAGGAGGGGAGGGGAGGGGAGGGGAGGGGAGGGGAGGGGAGGGGAGGGGAGGGGAGGGGAGGGGAGTGGAGTGGAGTGGAGTGGGATGGAGTGGGATGGAGTCCTTGGGTGCAGTCCTTGGGTAATATTATGGAAAAGAAAGCGAGTAAAGATAGAGCTCCGGGCAGTACCTGGGCTAATGCCACAAAAACTGGGAAAATCTGAGACGAGAGAGAGAGAGGGGTGCAGGCAGTACCTTGGGAGCAGCAGCAGCAGTCTTCCACAGAATGGCGGCGCAAGCCTCAGGGCTGGAGAAGACGCACAGAGGGAGCAGTGAGAGGGTGGAGGGGAGGTGGGGACGGAGAAAGGGAGAAAGTGGCAAGAGAGAGGCATTGGCACAGGCGAGTGTGAGGTGGGTGGCACCGCAATCCCTGGAAATGGTGCACACACAGAGTGGTACCAAGGTGGGGCGGTTGGATGTTGGGAGGAAAGGACGGCGGGAGGAAGGGAGGGACGGCGGGAGGGAGGAATGGTGGGATGGAGGGATGGTGTGAAGGAGGGGTACGGCCATGTGATTGGCCCCGAACTGGAGAGGGATGTCCATTTGCCTACTCTCCCGCCCTCGCGTTATTGCGAATCAAGAGTCTACTAGTCGTGCAGGCGACTTTTCTTTTGACTATCCATTCACTCCCTCCCGTCACTTGAATTTATTCTTATTTTCTTTCCTTCTTTCTCGTGCTCTCATTTTCACCCGACACTCATGAATGTCCATTAGATTGCTCACTTGAGTTCCCATTTGGGATATCCCAGCGGATTTTCCACCAGATGGCTCACCTGAACACGTCACCCAACCCACCTGGAGCCTTCCTCACCTGGCGACATAGTACACCGCGTTTTCGAGCATGAGCATCTTATTGCAGCAGCCTATAGCGAGGGCGCCACCAGACCCCCCTTCCCCGATGACGACTGAGATGGTGGGCACCGTGAGTCCGAACATCTCCCTCAGGTTGTGCGCTATGGCCTCGCCCTGTGGTAGGCAGGGGCAAGCGGAGGGGGAGCAATGGGGGAAGCGGAGGGAGATGGGGAGAGGCCAAAGCAATAGAGAACCCCCCCTGAGATGGTGGGCACCGTGAGCCCAAACATCTCCCTCAGGTTGTGCGCTATGGCCTCGCCCTGTGGGAAAGAGGAGGGGCGGGAGATTGGCAAGGGGAAGGGGAACATGACAATGGGTGACCTGCCAGTGTACACATAATCTCCTTCATTCATCTGCCCATCTGCCCATCTGCCCATCTGCCCATCTGCCCATCTGCCCATCTGCCCATCTGCCCATCTGCCCATCTGCCCATCTGCCCATCTGCCCATCTGCCCATCTGCCCATCTGCCCATCTGCCCATCTGCCCATCTGCCCATCTGCCCATCTGCCCATCTGCCCATCTGCCCATCTGCCCATCTGCCCATCTGCCCATCTGCCCATCTGCCCATCTGCCCATCTGCCCATCTGCCCATCTGCCCATCTGCCCATCTGCCCATCTGCCATCTGCCCATCTGCCCATCTGCCCATCTGCCCATCTGCCCATACTGCCCATCTGCCCATCTGCCCATCTGCCCATCTGCCCATCTGCCCATCTGCCCATCTGCCCATCTGCCCATCTGCCCATCTGCCCATCTGCCCATCTGCCCATCTGCCCATCTGCCCATCTGCCCATCTGCCCATCTGCCCATCTGCCATCTGCCCATCTGCCCATCTGCCCATCTGCCCATCTGCCCATCTGCCCATCTGCCCATCTGCCCATCTGCCCATCTGCCCATCTGCCCATCTGCCCATCTGCCCATCTGCCCATCTGCCCATCTGCCCATCTGCCCATCTGCCCATCTGCCCATCTGCCCATCTGCCCATCTGCCCATCTGCCCATCTGCCCATCTGCCCATCTGCCCATCTGCCCATCTGCCCATCTGCCCATCTGCCCATCTGCCCATCTGCCCATCTGCCCATCTGCCCATCTGCCCATCTGCCCATCTGCCCATCTGCCCATCTGCCCATCTGCCCATCTGCCCATCTGCCCATCTGCCCATCTGCCCATCTGCCCATCTGCCCATCTGCCCATCTGCCCATCTGCCCATCTGCCCATCTGCCCATCTGCCCATCTGCCCATCTGCCCATCTGCCCATCTGCCCATCTGCCCATCTGCCCATCTGCCCATCTGCCCATCTGCCCATCTGCCCATCTGCCCATCTGCCCATCTGCCCATCTGCCCATCTGCCCATCTGCCCATCTGCCCATCTGCCCATCTGCCCATCTGCCCATCTGCCCATCTGCCCATCTCTGCCCATCTGCCCATCTGCCCATCTGCCCATCTGCCCATCTGCCCATCTGCCCATCTGCCCATCTGCCCATCTGCCCATCTGCCCATCTGCCCATCTGCCCATCTGCCCATCTGCCATCTGCCCATCTGCCATCTGCCCAGCTGCCCATCTGCCCATCTGCCCATCTGCCCATCTGCCCCATCTGCCCATCTGCCCATCTGCCCATGCTGCCCATCTGCCCATCTGCCCATCTGCCCATCTGCCCATCTGCCCATCTGCCCATCTGCCCATCTGCCCATCTGCCCATCTGCCCATCTGCCCATCTGCCCATCTGCCCATCTGCCCATCTGCCCATCTGCCCATCTGCCCATCTGCCCATCTGCCCATCTGCCCATCTGCCCATCTGCCCATCTGCCCATCTGCCCATCTGCCCATCTGCCCATCTGCCCATCTGCCCATCTGCCCATCTGCCCATCTGCCCATCTGCCCATCTGCCCATCTGCCCATCTGCCCATCTGCCCATCTGCCCATCTGCCCATCTGCCCATCTGCCCATCTGCCCATCTGCCCATCTGCCCATCTGCCCATCTGCCCATCTGCCCATCTGCCCATCTGCCCATCTGCCCATCTGCCCATCTGCCCATCTGCCCATCTGCCCATCTGCCCATCTGCCCATCTGCCCATCTGCCCATCTGCCCATCTGCCCATCTGCCCATCTGCCCATCTGCCCATCTGCCCATCTGCCCATCTGCCCATCTGCCCATCTGCCCATCTGCCCATCTGCCCATCTGCCCATCTGCCCATCTGCCCATCTGCCCATCTGCCCATCTGCCCATCTGCCCATCTGCCCATCTGCCCATCTGCCCATCTGCCCATCTGCCCATCTGCCCATCTGCCCATCTGCCCATCTGCCCATCTGCCCATCTGCCCATCTGCCCATCTGCCCATCTGCCCATCTGCCCATCTGCCCATCTGCCCATCTGCCCATCTGCCCATCTGCCCATCTGCCCATCTGCCCATCTGCCCATCTGCCCATCTGCCCATCTGCCCATCTGCCCATCTGCCCATCTGCCCATCTGCCCATCTGCCCATCTGCCCATCTGCCCATCTGCCCATCTGCCCATCTGCCCATCTGCCCATCTGCCCATCTGCCCATCTGCCCATCTGCCCATCTGCCCATCTGCCCATCTGCCCATCTGCCCATCTGCCCATCTGCCCATCTGCCCATCTGCCCATCTGCCCATCTGCCCATCTGCCCATCTGCCCATCTGCCCATCTGCCCATCTGCCCATCTGCCCATCTGCCCATCTGCCCATCTGCCCATCTGCCCATCTGCCATCTGCCCATCTGCCCATCTGCCCATCTGCCCATCTGCCCATCTGCCCATCTGCCCATCTGCCCATCTGCCCATCTGCCCATCTGCCCATCTGCCCATCTGCCCATCTGCCCATCTGCCCATCTGCCCATCTGCCCATCTGCCCATCTGCCCATCTGCCCATCTGCCCATCTGCCCATCTGCCCATCTGCCCATCTGCCCATCTGCCCATCTGCCCATCTGCCCATCTGCCCATCTGCCCATCTGCCCATCTGCCCATCTGCCCATCTGCCCATCTGCCCATCTGCCCATCTGCCCATCTGCCCATCTGCCCATCTGCCCATCTGCCCATCTGCCCATCTGCCCATCTGCCCATCTGCCCATCTGCCCATCTGCCCATCTGCCCATCTGCCCATCTGCCATCCATCTGCCCATCTGCCCATCTGCCCATCTGCCCATCTGCCCATCTGCCCATCTGCCCATCTGCCCATCTGCCATCTGCCCATCTGCCCATCTGCCCATCTGCCCATCTGCCCATCTGCCCATCTGCTCTGCCCATCTGCCCATCTGCCCATCTGCCCATCTGCCCATCTGCCCATCTGCCCATCTGCCCATCTGCCCATCTGCCCATCTGCCCATCTGCCCATCTGCCCATCTGCCCATCTGCCCATCTGCCCATCTGCCCATCTGCCCATCTGCCCATCTGCCCATCTGCCCATCTGCCCATCTGCCCATCTGCCCATCTGCCCATCTGCCCATCTGCCCATCTGCCCATCTGCCCATCTGCCCATCTGCCCATCTGCCCATCTGCCCATCTGCCCATCTGCCCATCTGCCCATCTGCCCATCTGCCCATCTGCCCATCTGCCCATCTGCCCATCTGCCCATCTGCCCATCTGCCCATCTGCCCATCTGCCCATCTGCCCATCTGCCCATCTGCCCATCTGCCCATCTGCCCATCTGCCCATCTGCCCATCTGCCCATCTGCCCATCTGCCCATCTGCCCATCTGCCCATCTGCCCATCTGCCCATCTGCCCATCTGCCCATCTGCCCATCTGCCCATCTGCCCATCTGCCCATCTGCCCATCTGCCCATCTGCCCATCTGCCCATCTGCCCATCTGCCCATCTGCCCATCTGCCCATCTGCCCATCTGCCCATCTGCCCATCTGCCCATCTGCCCATCTGCCCATCTGCCCATCTGCCCATCTGCCCATCTGCCCATCTGCCCATCTGCCCATCTGCCCATCTGCCATCTGCCCATCTGCCCATCTGCCCATCTGCCCATCTGCACTGCCCATCTGCCCATCTGCCCAACTGCCCATCTGCCCATCTGCCCATCTGCCCAACTGCCCATCTGCCCATCTGCCCATCTGCCCAACTGCCCATCTGCCCATCTGCCCATCTGCCCATCTGCCCATCTGCCCAACTGCCCATCTGCCCATCTGCCCATCTGCCCATCTACGCGTCTGCCCATCTGTCCCTTGCACACACCTGCCCCAGCTCCTCGGCCTGAATGCCAGCATAAGCGCCAGGAGTGTCAATGAACATGACGATGGGAAAGCCGTGGTGCTCCGCGTGCCGCATCAGCCGCAGAGCCTTGCGGTACCTGCCCGGGTGGGGAATGGGGGGGAGAAGTGGGGGGGGTTGGGGGGGCGGGGAAAGGGAGGAAGTGAGGGTTGAGGGGTAGAGGATTTGTGTGTGTGTGTGTGTGTTTTTTTTTTTTTTTGGCATGTGGTTAATCACTAGTGTTTGATGCAGCAAAAACAGGAAGAGCAACGACTTGCTAGAAGACCAGCACTGGGTGACTCACCCGTTGGGCGACGGCATGCCGAAGTTGCGGTAGATGTTTTCGTTGGTGTTGCGGCCCTTCTGGTGCCCCATGAACATGAAGCTCATGTCGTCGATGCGCCCCAGCCCGCACACCAGCGCCGGGTCGTCGTAGCCGCCGCGATCGCCATGCAGCTCCACCCACTGCAGGGGGGGGTGACAGAAACGGAAGGAGGGAAGAGAAAAGACAAACCATGTGTCCCTGTGACCACAACCCAGCCCGCACACCATCGCCGGGTCGTCGTACCCGCCGCGATCGCCGTGCAGCTCCACCCACTGCATGATGGGGGAAGGCGAGGATGTGAAGCAGAGAGAACGCAACGGTGGGATGCAAACAAACAAAGCCATGTGTTAGCCACAGCCACAACCACGACCACAGCGCCGGGTCGTCGTACCCGCCGCGATCGCCGTGCAGCTCCACCCACTGCAGGGAAGGGGTACGCGCCGACGAGCATAAGCAGCAGGCCTTGAGAGTGGCAAGGAGCGCGCCTTATCTGTGTTCTTCAGGATGTGGCTTGTGAATCCAATGCACATCGTCTTGAGTGTGGCAGTGCGTCACCTTATCTGTGTTCTTCAGGATGTGGCTTGTGAATCCAATGCACATCGTCTTGAGTGTGGCAGTGCGTCACCTTATCTGTGTTCTTCAGGATGTGGCTTGTGAATCCAATGCACATCGTCTTGAGTGTGGCAGTGCGTCACCTTATCTGAGTTCTTAAGGATGTGGCTTGTGAATCCAATGCACATCGTCTTGAGTGTGGCAGTGCGTCACCTTATCTGAGTTCTTAATGATGTGGCTTGTGAATCCAATGCACATCGTCTTGAGTGTGGTAGTGCGTCACCTTATCTGTGTTCTTCAGGATGTGGCTTGTGAATCCAATGCACATCGTCTAGAGTGTGGCAGTGCGTCACCTTATCTGTGATGTTGAGAATGTGGTCGAGGAACGTTGGACGGTTGGGATGGCGCGCCACGCCCAGCCGTTGCACAGGGGTGAGGCGCAGGTAGATATCGCGCTTCAGCTGCCAGCCACGCGACAGACACCACGGGCACGTCCATGAGAGAGGGGAAAAAAAAAAAAAAAAAAAAAAACAAACAAACAAACAAAAACACAAACAAACAAACAAACACAACAGAAAAGAACAGAAAACACATGAAACGGCACGAGGACAGATGTTGCAGGGCATGCGCGCCTCTAACGCCAGCGATGGCAGCCATAGCTCAGCTTACACGTGGTGCAGCTCACCTGGTCGTATTTCTCCTGCAGCTCGTGAATCTGCTCGGTGAAATCCATCCCCGTTTTAGTCGCCAGATCACGAATCTGCAACGCAAGTCAGCAGATTGTGACGGTACACGACCGAGCGAAACACAATGCTTCATACTTGCAAGGCAGCGTCGCTTCCATTCGGAACGGCTGAAAGTTGAGACTGCGTCGTGGATCCCGAGGCCTTCTGTTTTATAAACATGTCGTCGTTACGAAGAGCATTTGTGACGATACGAAACGACTGGCAAAGAGTCAAATGATACGAAACGATGTGATGTGATGCAATAAGTTGTACGATACAGTGCGACGCGATGCAATGGGATACGGTGCGGTGCGGTGTGATGCGGTGCCTGACCTCTTTGATCCGCTTCTCCAGGTCCTCCAGCGGCCGCTCGAACGGCAGCATCAAGGGCTTGCCTTTCTTCTTTCCCGGGCTCTCCTTGCTCTTGGAGAAAAACGCGAGGAAGCCCTTCTCCTCTGCGTGGTACTTGTCCGGCCACGGATAGTCCGGATCCATCGGCGCTCTCTTCGTTTTCCGTACGTTGTTACACTCTACAGTAAGTCGCCGGGAAGCTCCACTGGGGATGTCTTTTGCTAGGGATTTGGCTCGAGGGATATTGATCGAAGATGGTCTGGTGTGCAGTGATTGGCCTAGAGATTCTCCGGATAAGCAACGGACGCCGACAACCGTCCGGTTTAAGAGGCTCCGCGTTGGAGCGCACGCAGCCATGGCTTCCATCGACCCTAAGCTTCAAGAATAGGTTATCGTTTCACACCGAGGACCAGGCCACAACCAAGAAAATGAGAGACAGTCACAACGGCTGCTATATTTTCACGGTTCTCAGCTATTCAACTCCACTGGAACTTTATTTTGCGAGTCGAGCGAAACGAGGCTTCCAAAGAATCAAGAGGAAAAAGCCGAAGGGAATCCCGAGTCAAGCAAAACGAGGAAACGAGGAGAAGCAGCCGTGATTTCCGCAGACTCGAATTCTTAGGCAGTGAGTCTAGGATGGAGGGGGGATCAAGGATATCTCGAGGTCGAGGGAGAATAGTGCAAGAAAAGCGGTGAAGCGGGAGGGGGTGCGGTGAAATGCGATGGGATGCTGGAAGAAGTGGACAACTGTTGGAGATATCGAGGTTGGGGAGGTCAGCGAAGGGTGCTTCGGGAGACAACGAGGTGAACGAGCGGTGGCGAAAGGCCGAATGGAATAAGCGAATTGCTGAGCGAGTACGACAGCGCGGTTACAGCACATATGGAAAGATCTGGCACAGATACGTGTGGAAAGGCACGTGTGTTGTCCCAAGTGACAAGACCCAAGTGCATCGACGCCGTTCGTTCAGCCTCCATCTTCTGGCATCAGGCTGACTCATCGGATAGCTCGTGTGACGGTGCGAAAAAACTGTTGTACCCAGCGTGTGAACCTTTTCAAATGATGGAGGATGACACGCGGCACCTCAGCGGCGCACCAATTTCAGGCGAAAGATCTGTGAAGGGATTCTGTATGAGGTGGGAAAAGACCTTTATCGAAAGTCAATGATATCAATAACTAAAATGTTGATAAACGTACACCTTTTCACAAACAGGAATGACAACAGACGGAAGCTCCATGTTATCGAAGCTGCGATTAGCAAATACCTTTTCTGACCCCCTTCAGCGAAATTGAGAGTTTTGGACTGTAATTTCAGTCATGCCTCATGAGTGTATAATCGTGTTATCGGGTTTATCTGTACGCGTGTGTTAGCGCTCCAGGCCTGCTTGTGCACTGTTGATATTTGCAGCCTGCGCGCAAGAACATTGCTAGTGCGCCTCTTCTGCGCACCAATGGCGGAAGAAAAATCAGCTCCGCCGAAAGAAGGAGAGAGGGGCCGCGCGCAGGTGGGGGCGAACGTGCAGGGAGAAGCGCTTCCGCAGGGGGAAGCGCGCGCACAGGGGGAACCCGTGGGAAAGGGGGAAGCTGGGGGAGCGGAGCTGATGGACACCAGCGCTGCGCCGAAGCAGGGGCTGTCTTTCCTGCTTTCGTCAGCGGAGCTTATCAGCCAAGGCGCGGAAGCGGTACGCATACCCGTTATATGCAGCCTCGGTCACCAAGCATTCGTATCCATTAGCGCGCACGGTGCTTATCGATTCGGTCAGCACGCATGAAACTGCGGTTTTCGTCGAGGAATGAGTTGTGGCCAGTCAATAGATTCCTTCCTCCCTTCCTCCTCCACTCCCGCCCACCAACCCACCATCGCATTGCCCCATGACAACAGAGAGTGTTCGCAGCAACGTTCTGCAGGCGGCCAGCGATACTGAAGCAGCGCTTTGAGAAGAAGTACCGCCACCCCACGCTCGACGCCCGACTCACCTCCAAACGCCTGCACACTGTGAGCACTCCTGTGCCAAGAAGACCTCCCATACATTCTCTTTCATCCCCGTGCCACTCTGAACAAGTACCGCCACCCCACGCTGGACGCGCGACTTACCGCCAAGCGCCTGCACGGGGTGAGCTCTCCCCTGCTGTGACCTCTCCCCTGCTGTGACCTCTCCCCTGCTGTGACCTCTCCCCTGCTATGATCTCTCCCCGCTCCCTTCCTTCCCCCACTTTCCCACTCCCTCCCCAACTCCACTCCCAGGAGGCAAGGAACATGGTGCGGGCGGCGAAGCTGGGAGTGGCGGTGCCGGTGCTGTATGGAGTGGAGGAGGGGGAGCAGGAATGGGAGAGAGAAAGGCATTGATGTAAACGCCAACTACCTACCCCCTCCCTCTTGTTGATCCCAGGAGGCGAGGAACATGGTGCGGGCGGCGAAGCTGGGAGTGGCGGTGCCGGTGCTGTATGGAGTGGAGGAGGGGGAGCGGTGCATCGTGATGCAACGAGTGGATGGGCGCAGCATCAGGGACCTCCTCCTCTCCCTCACGCACCACTCTCCCACTGCTGCTGCTTCTGCTGCTCTTGCTCAAACCAGCGCAGACCCACCTGTCAGTACAGGCACAGCAACAAGTGAGGATAGGGCACGGGGAGGGGGGCTACACCCGCGGGTGGCAGAGGTGGCTGCGTGGATGGGCGAGGCGATAGCAAAGCTGCATGACGGGGGCATGGTGCATGGCGACCTCACCACCTCCGACATGCTGCTCTCTCCCCTCCCTGCTGCTGGATACGTGGCTTCACCAAAAGCAGCCGCAACCTCAGCAGCAGCAGTGCCACCCGAAAGAGCAGCAGGGGCAACGGGGGAGGCAGCAGGGGCAGCGGCGGCGGCAGCGGGGGCAGTGGTGCCAGTAGGGGCAGGGAGGGAGCGCGTGGTGGTGATAGACTTTGGGCTGAGTTTCAACTCCACCATTGCGGAGGACAAGGCTGTGGATCTCTATGTGCTCGAGCGGGCACTCATCTCGTTGCACTCCAGCAACGGGGATATTGTATGTTCTTACCCTGCGCACCCCACACACCCACCACTTGCAAGCCAGCCTGCCTTTCCTTTCTCCTTCCCGCGCTGCTCCCAACTTGGCTGTCCTTCTTCCCCTGTGCCCTCTCCCCCTCCCCACTTTCTTGTTCTGTTTTACGTGCTTGTTCTTCCCTGGTTCTGACTCTTCTATTGCTCTTGACTGTAAGCTCCCCCGCTGTCCTCCTGCTTGTTTATTAATCTTATCCATGTGTGACATCAGATGTCTGCGGTGCTGACATCGTATCGCCACCATTCAAGGTTCTGGAGCGCCACACTAAACAAGCTGGGGCAAGGTGAGAGCCCATCCTCCATCCCTGCTCCTTGCCAAGCTAGATGTGAGCCTTACTAGACCCAAAACGAAACTTCCACAGTGCCACACTGAACACGCTGGGGATGAGGGCATATATCGCAAATCTTTAAGTGTCCCATTCTCGGGCATATCCAAGTGTATTTCACTCATTTTGTACCTTTCTTTCTTCTCCTGCCTAACCCGCCGTTCCAGTCCGCCTCCCCCGCTCTGTTTGACCTACCTGCTGGTGGTGCGTCCTCCACCGTCAGATCGTGGATCCGGTCCAGGCATCGTACGGTGTGGAGCGGCCGCTGTATGCGGTGGTACAGCTGGCACAGACGACCATGCGCAGCGAGCTGGGGAAAATCACCCTTGACAACACATTTGAGGAGCGGGATATCCTCAACACCAATATAGTGGTGCGTGCTGTAGGGGTTGGTGGCTGTGTGGCTGTAGGGGTTGGTGGCTGTGTGGCTGTAGGGGTTGGTGGCTGTGTGGCTGTAGGGGTTGGTGGCTGTAGGGGTTGGTGGCTGTAGGGGTTGGTGGCAGTGTGGCTGTAGGGGTCGGCTGTTTGACTGTATGGCTGTACTGTACGCGGTGGTGCAGCCGGCACAGACGACTATGCGCAGCAAGCTGGGGAAGATCACCCTTGATAACACGTTCGAGGAGCGGGACATTCTCAACACCTATATCGTGGTATGGACTGTGTGGGCGTGGTGGGTGTGGTGTGTGAATGTGACGATGCGCAGGCAGCGAGCTGGGAACGATCACCCTTGGTAGCACGTTCGAGGAGCGGGATATTCTCAGCACCAACAGCGTGGTGTGTGTTGCATGTGAGGGTAGAGGGTGTGTGTATATGCAGCAGCACCGCAACAAGCTGGGGAAGACCACTCTCGGTAACACGTTTGGTGACGACGACTCTGGGAAATCACGATATCTGCAACACCTATGTAGTGGTGCTGTCAGTGTTAAACAGGTGGGCTGCGGAGGTCCTATGTCCATCAACTTAAACTGTATCTTAGGACGACGAAGCAAACTCCATGAAATGAAAGAATGAAAGAGCCTGGAAAGCTTGTGAGCTAGAGCTTGTGAAATCACGACATCCGCAACACCTATGTAGTGGTGCTTGTGTTGTGTGCTGCACGCTAGGTAGGTAGTGGGTGTGTGTATGTGCAACAGTGCAGCGAGCTGGGGAAGACGACCACCCTTGGCAATACGTTTCAGGAGCAGGACATTGTCAACATCACTTGTATTCTATGTATTGTTTGTACTGTATGTGAAGTTCCTTCCGTTTCTCTCCTCCATGCTTCATCTTGCTTGTTGCGTGTTTCCGTTGCTGCTTGTGCGTGCGTGCGCGCGCACGTGTGTGTGTGTGTGTGTGTGTGTGTGTGTGTGTGTGTGTGTATGTGTGCGCATGTGTGCATGCTCGTGTGTGAGCAGAGGGCAATCAATGAAGCGGGTCAGGCATGGGGCATTGAGTGCTTAAGATACGAAATCCGTGAGTACCACTCTCACATGCATGCCACTCTCACATGCATGCCACTCTCACATGCATGCCACTCTCACATGCATGCCACTCTCACATGCATGCCACTCTCACATGCATGCCATTCTCCCATGCATGCCACTCTCACATGCATGCCATTCTCCCATGCACACATCCCTTCCTCTCTCCCTTCCTTCCTCCTTTTCTTCCTCCTGTCCATCCATCCCTTCCGTTTTTTTATCATTTAGGATAGAGAGAGAGACTCTCTGGTGAAGATTTACCGTCACTTCGGTTTTCAACCATCGAAGGAGCGCACCTGCCAGCCATGTGTTTCTGGTTGCCATGTCGTCATTGTTGCCCTTATTTGACCCTCCACCTTCTTCTTACCTCTGCACATGGCCGCATGGCCCATGGCCCATGGCATATGGCATATGTCACATGGCACATGGCACATTGCGAATGGCACATCTCACTCGTATGACACATGGCACATGGCACATGGCACGTGCTGCAGGTGACATCTCGCCTCCGCCTGGAGTGCGGGCAGCCATGGAGATGCAGGCTGAGGCGGAGAGGAGGAGGCGTGCACAAGTGCTCGAGTCAGAGGGTGAGTGGCGTTGCTGTTGCTGTGGTTGTCGAGATTCTAATCGAGGGTGAGTGGCGGAGTCATAGTGTGGTGGCGCTGCTGCTGCTGACTGACACCCTTGTTTTGGAAATCCATGTGTTTCGTTTTTATGGGTATGACTACCATGCTGCTTCACTCCCCAATCTTCTCCTCTGTTTGTCTCCTTTCTTCTCTCACTCCACTCCACCCCGCTCCCATCCCCATCTCGCCCTGTCCTCGCTCCTCTTGCTTGTTGCCCACCTCCCTGCCTTTCTCTCCCCCCTCCTCTTTCCCCTTTCCCATCCCCTCCACCTCCCCCTTCCCCCGTATCCACCCCTTCCCCTTCCGCTCCCGCTTCCCCTACCCCTCCCCTTCCCTGTCCCCCTCCCCCCCATCAGGCGACAGGCAGGCGAACATAAACATGGCAGAGGGGCGCAAGACGGCAGTCATCCTCGAATCAGAGGCCGCCATGTCAGACCAGATGAACCGAGCCAAGGGTAAGTGGCTTGGGCACCAAGGCTTAAGGTTTGGGGACTGAGGCTCGAGGCTCAGGGAATTGGATGCCACGTAGACGTTTCAGAACCAGGGCGTTCCGTTCTGCTTTCTCCGCCTGATACCCTACCTTTTCTCCTTTTCTGATTGCTCTTGAGAATTCTCACGAGTGACTCTCAAGTTTTGAGTCGACTCAAAACTAGGCTCTTGAGAATTTTCACGAGTGACTCTCAAGTTTTGAGTCGACTCAAAACTAGGCTCTTGAGAATTCGCACGAGTGACTCTCAAGTTTTGAGTCGACTCAAAACTAGGCTCTTGAGAATTCTCACGAGTGACTCTCAAGTTTTGAGTCGACTCAAAACTAGGCTCTTGAGAATTCTCACGAGTGACTCAAGTTTTGAGTCGACTCAAAACTAGGCTCTTGAGAATTCTCACGAGTGACTCTCAAGTTTTGAGTCGACTCAAAACTAGGCTCTTGAGAATTCTCACGAGTGACTCTCAAGTATCTCCCTTCACGTATGCCCTTCTTCACACTCTTTCAATTCCCATGCTTCTCTCCCCCTGCGCCCGCCCATGTGCTTTTCGCCCCCTGCCCCCCTACCCTCACCTGCCCACGCCCTGCAGGAGAGGCGGAGGCGATAGTGGCGGCACATGCGAGGGCATCAGCAGAGGGCATTGATGTGCTTTGCACTCTTTCCAATTCCCATGCTTCTCTCTCCCTCCCCTTCCCCCCTCCCCTACACACACTTTGCAGGAGAGGCGGAGGCAATAGTCGCACGTGCGAGGGCATCAGCGGAGGGCATTGATGTGCTGGCCAGAGCACTCATGGCTGAAGGCGCCACCCAGGTGTGTGTGGAGAATGGGTGTAGCATGTTTTGTAGTATAGTGACTAACGGAGCATCAAAGGGGAGAGGAGAGGGATGTCGTGCTGGCGAGAGCGCTCATGGCTAAAGGCGCCATGCAGGTGTTTGTGTGTGCGTCGGGCTCAATTGAGCTTATTCTTGTTCCCGCCTCCATTCCAACCACCTGACTGCCTTCGAGTCTCAGAGCAGTATGTGGGAGCGCTGGCAAATCTGGCCAAGGAGCCATGTTTGATCGTGCTTTTTCAGGCTCATCTGTTCTTCCTCTTCCTCTAACCCCTCCCCTCCTCTTTCCACGCCACGACTCCCCTCCTATATCAGGCCGCAAGCCTGCGAGTGGCAGAGCAGTACGTGGCAGCGCTGGCGAATTTGGCCAAGCAGGGAACAACAGTGCTGCTGCCGAGCAACGTGGGCGACCCCTCCTCCATGGTAGCTCAAGCACTGGCTATCTATAAGACCGTGTCCGGTTCCCCTACAGGTGTGACTGTACCGAGCGCCCCTACCGATGTGACTGTATCCGGTGACGCTGTAACAGGTGGAGCGGGCGCTAGTGCGAGTGAGCCGAGGAAAGCCGGACACGTAGGGTCGCAGTCGCAGGAGAAGGATAGAGAGGTGGGGGCTGTGAGTAGGGTGAATGGTAGCGAGGCGGTGGAAGGTGGTGGTCGGGCTGGTAGAAAAGGGACTGGCTTCTCATTGCAAGCACCACCTAAGTGATAAGACGGAAGCATGGAAGGTTGGGCTGCATACGTGAGTGATATGTTAATGTGAAGGATCAGCAGTGTGTAATGATACGATATCAATTGAGCTTGTTTGAAGCTTTTTGCTTTGAAGCCTCCATGATTAGGTTTGTACAAAGGTAGTTCTCCCATGTGCATTTTTGTGTGTGGTGTGATGACATGACAGGTAGCTCTGTGCCTTGTTAGTGTAATTCAGATCCAGTACATGTACACCTTAACATCTTTGTGTGACTAGGTTGTAATCCTTCAGGTTTATGGCCAAGTGGTATAAAATACTGTCCTCCACTCTGGAGGTGCAACTAGAACGAGAGAAGGCAGAGCATATTGCGTTACCCCAGCAAGCTGCTTGAGATGCTAGCGACTCCAAGAATTAATGGGCGGCTTGAGAGGTAGGAACACATTGAAACTGTTGACTTGCTAGCAAATGGCGGCTAGACCGCCACTATTGCTGCAGTCCAATCTTGGTTGCTGGTGGTTTTTGAACCTCGGAGATTAGAATCTGGCTTGTCTGGTGTGGTGAGTGAGCAGCACCTGCAACTCCACTGCACACCTCAGAAGGAAGTGTGATTTTTTGGCGCGAACAATGCACACACTCTACACACTTTTCAAGTGTAGTGGTTCAAATGCAGCAGCCAATCGCGCACAGAACAGAGCCGTGGCGACGAAGCACGTACAGTTCGCTAGACCTCGTCCCAGTCGGGCGGAGCTTCACGAACGAAATCGCAGACCCACGTCCTCCCCGCCGTTTCGCCACCAACCAAATACACCATCACCCCATCACCAGTAATTTCACTTAGCTGCCCGACCCCACCTTGTTTGAACATTCAAATTCTGATCTGAGTGGCAGTGTGGACCTCGGGAACTCCAAAACTTGGCTTCAGCAACAAGCTCCTGCCCGAGGTTCATGGTTCATGTCATGGTTCACTTCACTCCGTGTTGGCCTGATCCCTGATGAGGTCACCTCTTGTCGCAATTCTCAAGGTTGGTTTGTGTCAGGCGGAAGAAAGGTGTTGGTTTCCGCCTTTCCCTGTGGATGTCGTATTGTGTTCCCAGGTCGCCTGTCAGGCGATAGCTAATTTCATCAACAAGGCGTGATGCTTTTCGATAAGTGTACTTAGTATGTTAGCAATCTAGACGACTGGGCTTCGTGTAAGAGTAATCCGATGGCGTCCAAGGCGACGCCGATCGACCATTCGAGCTACGTAGGTCGGAAAGTGAAGAAGGATTTCGGAGTACACGGTTGGTTCACGGGTCGAGTCGAATCGTACGATGCCGACGAAAATTTCTTCCTGATCAAATACGAAGACGGCGATTGCGAGGAGGTGGAATTACAGGAGCTCGAAGGGATCATAGTTAAGCGAGGGAGACCGAAGCGTAACTCCAATCCTCCCTTACCGCCTGCATCAGGAGGAGCTGCTAGCGCAGCCTCCACGCCACTTATTGCGAATAAACGTTCTCTCGCAGGTAAGCATACTCCCCTGACGAAAGATACTCCTGAAGCAGATCAAACCCCTGCATCGATTTCCTCCAAGAGAAAACAACCGGCTCCTGCTGCATGGCGTCACTCGACTGATTCTGCCGCGGACAGAACGTCGGTCGAGCCAAACCAGACAGTTTTAGATGGTACAGCTACCGTCAAGTTGCCGTTTTCAGCTGAAGCCGTTTTACAGAAAGGCAAGACGAACGCGGCCCTCTCCTCCGAGACTGTTGAATTAGGATCAGCCGACGCGTCCGCAGCTGCGGGGGGGGTTCCTGCGGGAAAGCCCGTGCTTTCAGTTAGAGACGCCATTAATCAAGCGCGCGCCGCTAAGAGCCAGTTGAAGCAGCACGCGCAGAGCAAGGCCGGGCGAAAGGCCCCCAAGGGCGGTAGAAGAAGGTCCCGCGGATTCTCGCGCGCCTCTGGCGGAGATACCGACAGCGATGGCGAGGAGGAGGCGGAAGAGGCGGAGGTGGAGAAGGAGGACGAGGATGTGGAGGTGCAGGAAGAGGGGGGTTCTAGAGGGGATTTGATTTCGTGCCATGGCGGACCTTCCAGTTCAGGCGGAGAGCATTCCAACGGCAGGTCGATTCAGAATCTGTTTGCGTCGCAGATCGACCAACGGCAAGTCCTTCTGGCGCTGCCTGCACGCGGCGGCCCACCTGTGCTCCAGCTCCCACCTCCCCCTGCCGCTGCGCGACTCACGCCGCCACGTACCCCAGATGCACCGTCACCCATGCAAACCCCCACTGCCCTCCCAGGTTCTTACAACAAACGCCATGCAGCCGAGATCTCTACACCTCCATCCGCGTTAGTATCCACCCCTGGTTACACTCTCCACCAATTTCGCGACACTTCGTGCCATAATGTCCCCAGACCGCCTCCGTTCCCACCTCCACCGGTCTCTACCCTCCTCCCGCCTTCCTCCACCGACCTGCCCGTCCCAGCAGAGTCAGTTCTAGACCTCCTCTCCGTCTACTCTTTCCTTCGCTCTTTCAGTCAGCAGCTGTTCCTCAGCCCGTTCACCCTAGACCAGTTCTGCCACGCCCTCACCACCTCGCGCGCCAGCCCACTAATAGACAGCATCCACGTGGCGCTGCTGCGTGTGGTGGAGTACGAGCCTCCGTCAGCAGCGACGGGAGAAGGCGGTGGAGGGGGCGCGGGAGGCGCGGGGGGCGCGGGAGGAGTGGGAGGTGCGGGAGGGGTGGGACCAAAGAAGCAGGACGATTGTGGGAGTCTGCATCACAGGGAGCTGGACAAAGCATCTCTAGATGAAATCACGTGGCCGGAGTTTCTCCTCCTCCTCCTCGCCTCCCGCTCGTCCTCCCGCCCCAACAGCCGCAGGCTCGGCCACTCCGCCCTGTCTTCCTGCGACTACTACCTCCTCCCCGCCTCCACTAAGATCGACTTCCTCTCACTCCTCTGCGACGAGGCTTTAAGCAGCAGCGTGAGGGTGCGACTAGAGATAGAGCGCAGGCAAGGGGAGCTGGAAAGGAGATATGCGCTGGCAGGGGTTGGTATGGAGGAGGAAGAGGAGAATCTAGAGGATGTGCTTGCGCCAGTGGAAAGGCAGGGAAGGAGGAGGAGGGGGCGGAGGGGAGGAGGAGGGGAGGAGGATGACGAGGGGGATTTTGGGCAGGTGGGGTATCAGAGCCTTGGGATCTCCGCACTTGCTGCTGCTGGGGTGCCGTCGGGTATGGCGGGGTTATCAATGGTAGGGACAGGTACTGGTGGTGTTGCTGGGTCAGCAGGTGCGGGAGATGAGCTGGCAGACGGGAACGCGGACGAGTGTAAGCTGTGCGGAATGGATGGCAATCTGATATGCTGTGACGGCTGTCCGGGAGCGTTTCATTCGCGCTGCGTGGGAGTGGTGGCAGCAGCACTGCCGGATGGGGACTGGTTCTGTCCAGAGTGTGATATGAAGAGGAGGGCGGGCGAGGTGCTGGGTGCAGTGGTGCCGGAGGGGATCAGAGGGGAGCATTTGGGGGAGGATCAGCACGGCCAGGTCTACTATGGCTCCTGCGGCCGTGTTGTCGTGTAAGCGGTTTCTTCTTTCCTTTCTTTACTATCAGAAGAACTCCCAGTGGCTCCTTCCATTTCTCTCAGAAGCCTTTGGCCCCATCCCGAAAGAATTTCTACCCCACACCTGCACGGCATTCGTCCCAAAATCATATACAACGTGTTGCACACAAAGCCTGTGCAGCCCACAGCTCGTTTATCAATCCCTGTGCTTTTTGCGCGCAAAACCCTTCCGGTGCACCATCGTTTCTCCCTTTTGCCCTTTGAGCCCACTCGAGCACACATCCGAACCCCCCCTTCCGCATCCCTCTTTCCCCTCCATCCAAATACAGGTCGGAAGAACGCCACAATGGTTCCCACGTGGTGGTGTATTACAGCCCTGCAGACATCCCCCGTCTGCTGCACCATCTCTCCGCCCTGGGCCCTGCCTTTGCTGCTGTTCATGAGGCTGTTGCAGCGTTCGTTCGCTCCGAACTGCCGCAGCTGGAGGCACCTGAAAGTGATGCTGAGGCACCTGAAGATTGTGTGGAGGCACCTGAAGGCGATGTTGAGGCACCTGAAGGCGATGTTGAGGCACCTGAAGGCGATGTTGAGGCACCTGAAGGCGATGTTGAGGCACCTGAAGGCGATGTTGAGGCACCTGAAGGCGATGTTGAGGCACCTGAAGGCGATGTTGAGGCACCTGAAGGCGATGTTGAGGCACCTGAAGGCGATGTTGAGGCACCTGAATGCGATGTTGAAGCACCTAAAGGCGATGTCGAGGCAGCTGAAGGGGATGGGGAGGCACCTGAGAACAATGCTGGACGGCTGCAAAGTGCATCTGACGTGGAGATGCCGGAAGGGGATGCTACTGAAGGGGATACTAATAAGGTAGAGGAGCCAGTGGAAGGGGCTGCTGCTGCTATAGGTGAAGATGACGGGGATGTTGCTGAGGTTAAGGCGGAAGAAGATGGTGCAGTAGAGATAAAGGCGGGGGAAGGGGGTGCAGCCGAGATAAAGGCGGGGGAAGAAGCTATAGTCGAGATTAAGGGGGAGGAAGGGGGTGGAGCCGAGACAAAGGCAGAGGAAAAAGCCACAGCCGAGGTAAAGGGGGGGGAAGGAGGAATCGCTGAGATGGTCACAGCAGAGGCGGCGGAGGGGGATGGGGAGGAGGAGGGAAGACGGGAGGGGGAAAGACAAGAGGATGTGAAGGTAGAAGAGGGAGCGAATGAGGCTGGAGAGGGTTGTGTAGATGGGAGTGCAGGTGGGGGCGCAGAGGCTGCAGAGGGATGTGTGGATGTGAGTGCAGGTGGGGGCGCAGAGGGCTGTGCGGATGGAGGTGAGATTGAGTGTGCAGAGTGTGAGATTGAGTGTGCAGAGAAGGGTTTAGACGACGGTGTAGATGGTGTTTCTATTGGGAGTGCTTGGGATCTGGCAGACGAGGCTGTAGGGAATGTTTCAGAAGAGGTTGGGGCGGCAGATTTGACTGAACCAGCAGAGATGGCGGTTGGGGCAGAGACGGTAACTGCAGGTGATGTAGGAGCAGCGGTAGGAGGAAGTGGAAGGGCAGAAGGGGCAGAAGTGGCAGAGGCAGGAGAAGGTGGAATGGCAGAAACAGGAGAAGCAGAAGCGGCAGAAATAGGACAAGCAGAAGCGGCAGAAACAGGAGAAGCAGAAGCGGCAGAAATAGGAGAAGCAGAGGCACAAGGAGAAGAGGATCCTATGCAGATGGACCTCTCGTTTGTACTGAAGGAATCTGAACAGCTCTTACCAGCAGAGGAAGCGACGGTTGAGGTGCAGCCAGGCACAGGAGAGGAGGCAGTAGATGCTGCAGGAGGCGAAGGACCAGAAGGTGCTGCAGAAGATGGAGGAGAAGGAGAAGGAGAAGGACGGGAATTGGAATCAGCGGCACAAGAAACAGCAGCAGTCGCAGCGGCAGTAGGAGCAGAGGCACCAGAAGGAGCAGCAGCAGAGGTAGCAACAGTAGGAATAGTTGATGAAGCAACAGCACAAGCAACAAACGAAGCAGAGCAACACACAGAGCAGCAAACAGAGCAGAACGCAGAGAAGCACGCAGAGCAGCAGAGGCCGGAACACGAACCCAGCAGCAGCGGAGTGGCAGAGGCTGGTGAACAGGAGAAACCACCGGCCTCATCAGACCCTTCCCTGGCGTCGCAGGCAGGCTTGGAGCATGATTCTCAAGCGCTTGATGCTCCGTGGCACAAGCCTAGAGGGAGGCGGATTGCCCGGGTGGTGGCGAGGCTGTGGGAGAGGCTCGGCGTGGCTGCTGCTGGGGAGGCTGGAGACGCTGCTTCTCCTGCTGTGGCTGCTGCTGCGAATGCTAGTGCTGCTGCCTGTGCTGCTGCTGCTGCCGCTGCTGTTCCTGGTGATGGAGTCATACCGGAGAGCCAGTGGCAGCTAGCCGTGCAAACAAATGAGGTGAATCAAGCACAGCAGGCAGAGTGGTCAACGAGAGCAGAGAGGGCGGAGCAAGTGGAGCGGTCAAGAGAAGCAGAGCTCATTGAGCCATACACGAACCGCTACGCTTTGGGGGAGGTATCCTCAGCTCTAGCCCTCGCCCTCTGCTCCGCCACCGAAGCAGCAGCACAGGAGGCGGAGAGGAGAGGCACAGGAGGCAGCAGAGACGAGGATGATTCAGAGCACAGAACCAGGCGGTCTGGTCGGCGGTCTAAGGGGCTTATGTCTGTAACCGAGCAGATGAGAGTGTTCGCGAAATGCATGCCTGCTGGTTATTGGCCGATGTCTGCTGTTTTTTCCGGCCGCGTTGGGGCGGCAGGGGCAGCAGCAGGCGCAGGGGCTAGAAACTCTGCTGCTGCTGCAGCGGCGGCGGCTTTCAAGGAGCGTTGTGGGTGGTGTGCGCATTGCCAGTCGGCTCATAGGAAATACTGCCTGCTTGTCTCCGCTGCGCGTGCTGCCTCTGCGACTGCTACTGCTGCTGCGGCTGTTGGGAACGTCCGGGCTGCCAGTCAGCGCAGGCTCGGGGGAGGTCCGGCGGGAGGCTTGGGGAAGGGAAGACTCGGGCTGGGTTTGGCAGGAGGGGAAGCGGGGGGAGGTGGGGAGGGGGGGAGAATGAGGGGAGTGGGGGGGGGACTGGGAGGAGGAGTGCGTGGGGCGAAAGGGGAGGAAGAGTTAAGAGAGAGGGATGGGAGGCTGGATGCTGTAGTCACACGGTTGATGTACCTGGAAGGGCAGCTGCACCCTCTGCTGGAAGGCCCTTGGAACGATTTCAACTGGCGCCAGCACTGGCGGCAGCGTGCAGTGCAAGCCACGTCTCTACTCCAAGCGAAGCAACTTATAAAGGAGGTGGCCCGCTCCCTCCGCACCGTCGCCCTCTCCTCCCATTGGTCGGCAGAACCAGAGCCACCCGCTCCCCTTCCAACCAGCCTCCCGTTACAAGCACACCCAGTGCCTGTCGCCCCTGCTGCTGCCCCCCGCCCCTCTGGTCGAAGGCGAAAGTCACAAGGAGGGAGAGGAGGGGCAGGGAGCGGGTTTGGAGGAGGGAGGGGAGGAGCAGGGGCAGGTTCGGTGCCGGCGTGGGTGATGCTTATGGAGGCTCGGCGAGCGGTGCGGGTCAAGGTGCAGTGGTTCCGAGGCTCTGGCTTGGCTCGGCACGCTGCGGACTGGGAGCAGCTGCCTCGGGACTTGGCTCGGCGAGCGGCTCGGCAAGGTATGTGGTGTGGTTGGGCAAGGTGAGTGGCTTGGGATCCAAAAGCAAGGTGAGTGGAAGAGCAGGGAATTCGCATCCTTAAGTTGCGAAATTGGTCATGTCTGAATTCATAAGGTGGCGTGGGAGGCGAGGGTGGATGCTGCACACTCCGTGGCCCACCTGGCCCTGCAGCTGCGATCTCTGGAAGGGCTTATCCACTGGGACCAAAATCAGCACCCCTTTTCCTCACCTCCCTCCCTTCTCCCTTCGTCCCCCCCGCCCACCTGCTCCACCTCCCGCCCTCCACTCACCAACAGGCGGATTCAAGAAGCTCCCAGGGTTGCTGTACGGAGTGCCTTTCACCAGCCGCCGAGGGGTGCCAGTGCGAGCAGAGAAGGTGGCGTGGGAGGCGAGGGTGGATGCTGCCCACTCCGTCGCCCACCGATTGCTGGAGGGGTTTATTCTCTTTGACCAGATCAACGCCCTTCCCCGTTCTCCCTCTCATCATCCCATCTGCCCCTCTTCTCCCTCTTTCCGCATCCCTTTTCCCACCCACAGGCGGATTCAAGAAGCTCCCAGGGTTGCTGTACGGAGTGCCATTCACCAGCCGCCGAGGGGTGCCAGTGCGATCAGAGAAGGTGGCGTGGGAGGCGAGGGTGGATGCTGCCCACTCCGTGGCCCACCTCGCCCTGCAGCTGCGATCACTGGAAGGGCTTATTAGATTAGACCAGATCAACACCGCCGCCGGTCCCCCCACTGTTGCCGTTCCTGCCGCTGCCGCCGCTGCTGTAGCTTCTGCTGCTGCTGCTGCGCGTGCCGCCGCTGGTGGTGGTGGTGGTGCTGCTACTGCTGTTTATGGGGATGGTGATGACGTGGAGGAGAGCTGGGTCTCGTTGTGTGACGTGGCGTCGCGTGATTCGTTCGTTCTGGATAAGGACTTTCGGCCTCCGTTTGTGAAAGGGAGGAGGTGGAAGGCGGAGAGGGGGGTGGAGTATTTGGTAGTTGTGAAGAGTGAGGAGGAAAGGGAGGAGGGGGATGAGGAGGAGGAGGAAGAGTGTGACTCGGAGGAGGAGAGGAAGAGGAAGAAGAAGAGGGCGAGGGAGAGATTGAAGGCATGGAGGAGGAAGAAGAGAGAGGTGATTGAGGGAGTGGGGGCGGGGGAAGGGGTCAAGGAGTGGAAAGGGAAGGCTTTGGTTAAACATGAAGTGGAAAAGATCAAAGAGGAGACGGTTAGAGAGGAGGTGGTTAAAGAGGAGTTGGAGACGGTTGGAAAGGTAGAGGCGAAGACCAGGGGGAGTGAAAGGAAGGAGGATGTGGAAGTGAAGGGAGTGGGAGTTAAGGAGGAAAGGAAGGAAGAGGTGAGGGAAGTAGCAGTTCAGGAGGGTTTGGGGGCAGAGAGGGAGGCAAAGCGAGTGAGAAGAGGGGAGGGGGGGGAATGGGAGGCAGGGGGAGGAGGGGCAGTGGGAGGGGAGGGAGGTGCAGGCGGAGTGAGGGCAGATCCTGGAAATAATGGGACTCAAGGAACCGACGAGACACACGAGACACATGGGACACAAGGGACACAGGAGACACAATGGGTACTAGGAACTCAAGAGACCCAAGATCTGGTAGCTCAGACTATCGCTGCCCAAGAGGGTGTTGCTGAGGCGCATAGGCTTGAAGGGGTGGAGGTGGAGGCGAGGAAGGATGATGAGGAGGGCGAGGGTGGCGGAGGCGGGGAGGTGACTCTTGGGGCACCTGGGAAGGAGATGAGGGAGGATGAGGAAGTGAGGGAGGAAGCGGAGAAAGAGAGGAACGACGAGGTTGAGGAAGTGCCATTGAATGTAGATGGTCATGGTGATGGGGATGGGGATGGGGATGTGCGTGTTTGTGAGGAGGGTGGTGAAACGGTGGATCTGTCTCAGGAAGACGAGGAGAAGGATCGCTGTAACGCTGCTGGTGAGAGCGCTGGCGGAGAGGTGAGCGTTGACGACGAGGCGAACCCTTGGAAACGAAGGAGGAAGGCAGGTGGGAAGGACGGGAATGTGGCTGCCGAAATGGGGGACGCTGGGGAGGGGGCGGATGGGGATAAGGAAGCGAATGGAGGATGCATGGGAGATGAAGATGGAGGGGGAGGGGATGGTGAAGAGAGGAGCGAGGGAGGGAAGGAGGAGAGTGAGGAGGAGGAGGAGGAGGAGGAGGAGGAGGAGGATGAAGAGAGGGACGAGGATTTGTTTGGTGAGAGGGAAACGGGGAGAGGAAGGGGGAGGGGGAGAGGGAGAGGGAGGGGGAGAGGGAGGGGGAGAGGAAGAGGGAGAGGCGGAAGAGGTGGGAGGGGTGGGGGAGGTGGGAGAGGGGGAGCAGGAAGGGGGAGGGGAAGGGGAGCGGCTGGCAAGAAGCGGAAGAGAGGGGAGCATCTGGTTGAGTATATGAAAGCCAAACGTGCTGCCGCTGCTTCTGCTGAAGCTGCTGCTGCTCCCGGGGATTCTGCTGATGCTGATGCTGCCACTGCCGTTCCTGGTGCTGATGCTGCTTCTGCTGGTGGTACTGATGTGGAGGAGGTAGGAGGGGATGGAGGCGGAGGGAGTGGTGAGAAGGTCACAGATATGGTGGAAGGGAGCACGGGAGTGAAGGAGGCAGGGAAGGAGGGAGGCGTGCAAGGAGAGGGTAAGGCAGGGAGGAAGCGCAAGCGGGAGCTGAAGCCAGAAATCATTCCTGAGGGCAGCCGGAGAATCACGAGGAGCCGAGTGAAGGAGGAGGAGGGCGGGGCGAAGAAGGGAGTGGGAGAGAAGGGGAGAGCTGATGGGAAGTCTGCGGATGGGGATGTGGTGAAGGGAAGAAAAGGTGGGGCGAAGGGTGGTGTAAAGGCAGGGAAGAAAGGGAAGGAAGAGGAGGAAGAGGAGGAGGAGGAAGAAGGTGTGGTGATGGTGAAGGAAGACGAGGAGGAGGAGGTGGAGGAGGTGAAGGAGGAGGGGGAGGAGAAGGGTGAGAAGGGTGGGAGAGGAAGAGCGGTTGGGGGCAGAGGAAAGGCTGCAGATGTTGCTGATGGGAACAAGCTGCGGCTTGCAGAGAAAGAGGAGAAAGAGGAGAAAGACTATGAACAAGTAGTAGGGAAGGTAGAGAGGAAGATTGAAAAGATGAGAGGAGAAGTGCAGGAGGTAGAGGAAGTGGAGGAGAGTGACGAGGAGGGGCAAGAGGATGACGAGGAGGAGGAAGATGAAGATGGGGGAGTGTGGGTGCCGGAGAGACTCGTTCCTTTGGAGCTAATCCGAGAGTTTGAGCACCGGAGGAGAACAGAGATTTGGGAAGAGCATGCGAAGCTGGTGCGAGCAGAGAGAGAGGCAGCAGAGGCTGCCGCCAGGGCCGTTATTGTGAAGTACGTGAGGGAGAAGGTGCGGGCGATTAGAGAGAGACGAGAGCTGATGGTGCAGGCGATGGTGGCTCAGTGTAGAGAGATGGAGGGGCGGAAGAGGCGCGGGAAGGAGAAGCAGGGGCAGGGGCAGGAGCGGGAGGAGAAGCGGAAGCGGGAGAGCGAGAGGGAGCGGGAGAAGGAGAGGGAGAGGGAGGCGAGGGAGCATGAGAAGGAAGATCGGCGGGAGAGGAAGGAGAGGGTGAAGGAGGAGAGGGAGAGGGAGCGGCAGCGGCGGTTGGAGGAGAGGGAGAGGGCGAGGAAGGAGAGGGAGCAAGCATCAATGACGAGAATGTCACAGGTGGTGGGGGCGGAGGCTCAGGCAAGGATTGTGGCGGAGGCTCGGGGGAGAATGCAGAGGGAGATGGAGGAGCGGTGTTCTGCTCTGTATGCTCGGCTTGTGGCTGTGCAGAGTCAAGCAGGAAGTGCAGGACTAGCAGGAGGAGCGGGAGGAGGAGGAGGAGGGGCAGGAGGAGCAGAAGCGGTGGTGGATGCGTGCAGGGTGTGCATGCAAGGGCTCTTCAGTGATGGGTGAGTGGCAGCAAGGGTGCCTGGGGTAGGTAGATGCCTTGCACGGGTGATGCTTCCTCCATGGCTACATTACATGTCTTGCACGTGGAAGGCAAACCCCCCCCATGCATGTGGCAGGGGTCATTTATCGTGCCTTTCCTCTGCCTTTCCTCTGCCTTTCCTCTGCCTTTCCTCTGCCTTTCCTCTGCCTTATCCTCTGCCTTTCCTCTGCCTTTCCTCTGCCTTTCCTCTGCCTTTCCTCTGCCTTTCCTCTGCCTTTCCTCTGCCTTTCCTCTGCCTTTCCTCTGCCTTTCCTCTGCCTTTCCTCTGCCTTTCCTCTGCCTTTCCTCTGCCTTTCCTCTGCCTTTCCTCTGCCTTTCCTCTGCCTTTCCTCTGCCTTTCCTCTGCCTTTCCTCTGCCTTTCCTCTGCCTTTCCTCTGCCTTTCCTCTGCCTTTCCTCTGCCTTTCCTCTGCCTTTCCTCTGCCTTTCCTCTGCCTTTCCTCTGCCTTTCCTCTGCCTTTCCTCTGCCTTTCCTCTGCCTTTCCTCTGCCTTTCCTCTGCCTTTCCTCTGCCTTTCCTCTGCCTTTCCTCTGCCTTTCCTCTGCCTTTCCTCTGCCTTTCCTCTGCCTTTCCTCTGCCTTTCCTCTGCCTTTCCTCTGCCTTTCCTCTGCCTTTCCTCTGCCTTTCCTCTGCCTTTCCTCTGCCTTTCCTCTGCCTTTCCTCTGCCTTTCCTCTGCCTTTCCTCTGCCTTTCCTCTGCCTTTCCTCTGTCTTTCCCTCACGCAATTGTTTTTATTTCTTCCTCTTCCAATCCGCCCTTCTCCTTCTGTTTTCCCGCTCTGCCTTCTTTCCCTGCACACTGCAGCGCGAATCAGGTCTTCATATGCGTTTCCTGTAAAGGTGAGCGCCTTTCTAAGTTCTCCGGGCCTTTTCACATCAACTCCTGCTCCTTCGCTTGATCTTTTGTCTGCCTTAGCTCCTTCAGGATAGTCTTCCTAGCCCTAGTTAATCAACACACTCAGTCAATCATCTTGTGGAGTGCACCCCTAATATCACACTCCCCTAATATCACACTCCCCTCCATATCACACTCCCCTCCATATCACACTCCCCTCCATATCACACTCCCCTCCATATCACACTCCCCTCCATATCACACTCCCCTCCATATCACACTCCCCTCCATATCCCACTCCCCTCCATATCACACTCCCCTCCATATCACACTCCCCTCCATATCACACTCCCCTCCATATCACACTCCCCTCCATATCACACTCCCCTCCATATCCCACTCCCCTCCATATCACACTCCCCTCCATATCCCACTCCCCTCCATATCCCACTCCCCTCCATATCCCACTCCCCTCCATATCCCACTCCCCTCCATATCCCACTCCCCTCCATATCCCACTCCCCTCCATATCCCACTCCCCTCCATATCCCACTCCCCTCCATATCCCACTCCCCTCCATATTCCACTCCCCTCCATAAACCCTTTCCCCCCTCTCCCCATCACAGCCTTGACCCATGCCACATGCCTCTCGCCTCCTGACCTCCTCCCTCCGGCCTTCCAATCCGCCCCTCCCACGGAGCCATCCCCATCCCCAACACCGTCCCTTCCATCCCTCCACCTCGTCTGCCTCAACTGTGCCCTCTCCATCTCGCAACAAGACGCTACCTCTGCCACTGCTGCTGCTACCGAAGCCGCTGCTGCCGCCGATGCTGCTGCCGCCGCCGCTGCTGCCTCTGCTTCCGCTTCTGCTGCTGCTGCTGGTGCGGCTGGTGTGGCTGGCGCTGCTTACGGTGATGCTGCTGCTGCTGGTGGGGGTGGTGCTGGTGCCGGTGCCGCTGCTGCTGCTGCCGGTGCTGCTGCAGCAGCAGCAGAAGGGCATGACGATGAGCAGAAAAGGAGGCGGAGAGTTTTCCGGGCAGAGCACCCGGTTTGGACGCTGCCCGGAACTCCGGGCAACCGGCACACAGTCGCAGGATACTATTTCGCAACAGGAAAGGGCGACAAGGGCGAGAGGGAGAGACCGGAGGGAGAAAAGGGGCTTCAGCTGAAGTATATACCGTCAGGGCCAGGGGGGAGGAAGGCGATGGGGGTGTATGGGATGGGGGAGGGAGCGGGAGTGGCGTGTCGGTTGTGCAAGGAGGGGTATGACGAGAGCCGCTTCTACGTCGCCTGCAACTTCTGTGATTGTAAGCCCCTTGATGCTCAGCGTGTGGGATGCCAAAGGGCTTGTTTTTGTTTGTTGGGGGGTATGGGAGAGGGAGTGGCGTGCAGGCTGTGCACGGAAGGGAGGGGTATGACGAGAGCCACTTCTATGTTGGCTGCAATTTCTGCGACAGTAAGCCCCTTGATGCTCAGCGTGTGAGGAATCGAATGGCGTGCATTGCTTTAGGAGGGGTGTGTATGGGATGTGGGAGGGAGAGGGAGTGGCGTGCCGGCTGTGCAAGGGGGGGTATGATGAGAGTCGCTTTTACGTCGGGTGCAACTTCTGTGATGGTATGCCCGTTGTTGCTGGTTTGCGGGAAATCGAAGGTTCTGCTTCGAGTTGTTCTCACTTCTCTTCCCGTGTCCTTCCCCTTAACCACGTCACATTCATGCTAACACCCAAGAAATGAGCTCGAATGTGATTCTGGTTTCTCCCAATCCTGTTCCATTGGTCACTCTCTTCTCCTTTTTCCACTCTCTCTTCTCCCTTTTCCACTCTCTCCTCTCCCTTTTCCACTCTCTCTTCTCCCTTTTCCACTCTCTTCTCCCTTTTCCATTCTCTCCTCACTTTTCCACTCTCTCTTCTCCCTTTTCCATTCTCTATTCACTTCCCATTTCCATTTCCCACTTCCCCAGCCTGGTTCCACGGCAACACGTTGCAGCTGGATGAAAAGCTGGACATTCCGATCCTGCTCTACCTCAAGTGCACTCTTGCCTTGCTTCTTTCCGTTCCCCCACTTCCCTTTTATCCTTCCGCTGCCTTCCCCCTTTGCTCAGCCTGGTTCCATGGTGACACGCTACAGCTAGATGAGAAGCTTGACATTCCGATCCTGCTCTACCTCACGTGCACTCTTGGCCTGACGCTCAAAAACACCCTTTTCGTCTCCCTTTTCCCTGCCTCCACCTTCTTGCCTCCCCTTTCCCCAGCCTGGTTCCATGGTGATACATTACAGCTAGATGAGAAGCTGGACATCCCGATACTGCTCTACCTCAAGTGCAACCGCTGCCGTAAGATCGCCAACAAGCTGCATCCCTGCCGTCCAAACCACGTGGACCCCCTTGATTGGCCGCCACATGGCACCGCCGCCCCCGCTCTCGAAGCAACAGCAGCAGAAGTGGCAGGAGGAGCAGGGCCAGGAGGAGGAGCAGTGGGGGCAGGGGCGGGAGGAGGGTCAGGTAAGGGAGGGAAGGCGGGAGGAGGTGCAAAGGGAGGGGGGAGGAGAAAGAGCAGCAGGGGCGCTGGGACAGTGGAGCAATCACCTGGCTACCCTGCTAATGCTGGTGCTGGGGGAATAATGGGTCGATCCACCACAGCAACAATGACTGCAGGGAACGTGACAGCACCGGGTGTGATTATAACAGCAGAGAACATCGACCCGGATTCGTTCTTCGACTCGCAGCCGACAGCAACAGGGGATGGGCTGGGTGGGGCTGTGGCGGGGGCGGGGGCGGGGGCGGGGGCGGGGCTTACAGGAGGGGAAGCATGGGGGGGAGGAGTAGGAGGCGGAGGGCAAGGGTGGGGCGGAGGAGGATCAGGGGGAGGGGATGGGGTGGAGAGTGGTGAGGATGGGTCGTTCTGGAACATCCCTTTGCCCACAGATACGGATCTGATGGATGGGGCAGCAATGGAGGCACAGCTGATGGGCTCTGCTGGGATTGCCATGGGTGGTGCTGCGACTGTTGCATATGCTGCTGCTGGTGCTGCTGATGGTGGTGGTGCTGGTGCTGCTGGTGCGGGTGCTGCTGGTTCTGCTGCTGGTATGGCTGGTATAGGGGTGCCTGATGGTCACGGTGCAGGTGCTTTTGTGGGTAATGCTTCTCTAGCCGACGCTTCTGCTGGTGCTGCTGGTGCTGCCAGTGGCGCTCAGCTGTTGCAAGAACAGCAATGGCAGATTCAGCAGCAGAATCAGCAACAATATCACCAGCAATATCAGCAGCAGCAGCACTTCGGACAGCAGGTGGGGTCTGGTCTAGGTGGAATTTCAGGTGGATTCCCAGGTGGATTCTCAGGTGGAGTATCAGGTGCCTTCCCAGGTAGCTTCCCAGATGGGAAAAGAGGAGGCACGGGATTAACAGAGGCGGCAGCAGCAGCAGTAGCAGCCGCTGCAGCCGCCGCAACCGTAGGAGGAGCAGGAGGAGCAGGAGGAGCAGGAGGAGCGGGAGGGGTAGAGGGGTTAGGTAGGCGGTTGCGACCACGGAGGCCTCGGTCGGTATCCCCTGTGGATAAAGGGGAGGTTATTAACGAGGCTGCTCATCAGAAGAACAGTGCAGGCAGTGCCTTTATTCCTTCAGGCCTGAACGTTCCTGGAAACCTCCCTGCGGGTCGAACAGTTTTGGTAGCAGGTCAGATGGGCCCTTCGGTTCCTGTCTCTGGGTCTCCCATGCTGGAAGCAGGCACATGGCAAGCAGCGGGTGCAGGGGGGGCAGGGGGGGGCAGAATGGGTGGGGTCTCTGGTGATATGAACAGTCTGCCACATCAACTGCAACAGCAGCAGCAGCAAGAATACCGTCATCAGCAGCAGCAACCAACGCAGCAACCGCAGCAGAATCAGCCGCAACAGCCATATCAACAGCAACAGCAGCAATATCAGCAGCAACTGCAGCAGCAACATCAGCAATTTCAGCAGCAACAGCCAAGGCAGGTGCAGGCGCACCATCCGCACTCACAGAGTCACCAGAATCGTCAGCTGCAGCAACAGCATCAGCGTGAGCAACAGCAACTGCAGCAGCAACAACAGCTTGAGCAGCAGCGACTGCAGCAGCAGTATCAGCGTGAGCAACAACAACTGCTGCAGCAACAAATCGCTCAACAGCAGCCACAGCACCATCAGCTGCAGCAGCAGCAGCAGAAACAGCAATTACTGCTGCTGCACAAGCGTTATCAACAGCAATATCAACAACAACAGCAGCAGCAGCAGCAACAACAGCTGCAGCTACTGCAGCAGCAGCAGCTACAGCAGCAGCAACAGCAACAGCAGCAGCTACAGAAGCAGCAGCAGCTACAGCAGCAGCAACAGCAGCAACATCAGCAGCAGCAGCAACAGCTGCAACACTTTCCTTCCAATGCACCAGTGAACTTCCCCCATCCCACTCCACACTCCTCTTCGCCGCCCGCACAACCCCACTTGCCACCCATGCCAGCCACCTTACCACCTCCTGCCCACGTTCCCCAACACACTCAAGCCCCCACCATGAACCCTCCTGCCCTCCTCGCCTCCGCAGCACCCTCACTTGAGCCGTTTGACTCAAGGCACGGCCAAAGACCTCTGATGCAATATCCCAGTCAATCTGCAAGTGAATATCCAAGTCAGCCTTCTAGTCAAGCTCCAAACTTGGAGTCACACGCGGCGAATCTCGAGGCCCCGCTCCCGAATCACAACTCGATTGAACCACCACCAATTCAAGCACTGAATGAGCCTCTGCGTGAATACCCGAGTGAAGCTGCATACCCCCCTGAGCCTCTCGAAGCTTCTGTTGAAGCCCCGATGGAAGCCCCGATTGAAGCGCCGATGGAAGCGCCAATTGAAGCGGGGATTGAAGCCTCGGTTGAAGTGCCGATGACCCCGGGGCAGCTGGTAGCGCTGGTGGAGTCTCAGCTGCTGGCACAGGGGTTTGACCCTGCGAGTGCGGCTGCCGTGATTGCTGGTATGAACGATGGGGACCCGAGCGCGCTTGCGGTCGTTTCTGCTGCCGTCAAGGCCAGCCAGGAATGTGGGTCTGCCCAACAGGTGGGGGCAGAGCAGGTGGGGGCAGAGCAGGTGGGGTTGCAAGAGGTGGGGTTGCAGGAGGGTGTTGGTGCAGGGCAGGCAAGTTTGCAGCCGGGTGTTTGTGCCTCGGTGGATAATGCTGCTGGTGTGGGGCTGATTGATGGTGGTTTCGAGCACCAGCAACAGCAGCAGCAGTGGCTGCAGCAGGAGCAAGAACAGCAGCAGCAGGAGGAGGCGGAGCAGGGGCAGTGGTCACAGCTGCAGGAGCAAGGGCAGCAACAGCAGCAGCAGCAGCAGCAGCAGCAGCAGCAGCAGCAGCAGCAGCAGCAGCAGCAGCAGCAGCAGTGGTCAAAGCAGCAGCAACAACAATGGCAGCAACAGCAATGGGAGCAGCAGCAGCAGCTGCAGCAACATCAAACACAGCAGCAGCAGGAGCAGTGGTCACAGCAGCAGCAGCAGGAGCAAGGGCAGCAGCAGCAGCACTGGGCAGAGCAGCAGCAACAACAATGGCAGCAACAGCTATGGGAGCAGCAGCAGCAGCAGCAGCAGCAGGTTAGTCAGCAATCGCAGGTTGGGCAATCACTGCAGCAACAGCCCCAGTGGCAACCAGAACAACAGCAGTGGCAGCAGCTGCAGCAACAACTGGTGGCTGCTCCAGTTGACGAGCAAAGTAGCATGCCTGCGCAAAGTTATAGCCAGTCACAGGAAGCGTGGATGGAACAGGGTGGTCCCGTGAGCCAGGAATTAATGGGTCAAAACAATGAGGTGAGCCCTATGTTGGCAGGACAATCCCAAGGGGGAATTTTGCCCACTGGGGAGATGGGAGTTGGGATGCAGTGGGAAGGGAATGAGGCAATAAAGGATTCGAGTGTGCCTGCGGTTCAGGGCATGGGAGATCGCATGGTGCTTGGCAGTGATGGTATGATGCATGATGGTGCTAGTGGTCCCACTGATGGTGGAAATGCGCCTTTTGGTAGTGTGGGTCATTTGTCCATGTGGAATCAATGGGGACAGTAGCAGCTTGAAGCGTATAGTTCACTCGTGTATGCAGTGCATCACTATATTGAAGAATGTGGGATAAATAGTATGCCACAGATGTTTCTTGTAAGATACTCCTTTGTACACCTTATTACAATGTAAGGTTGGATTGCCCTTAAAAAGCAGCCCACTTCCACTAGTAACGAAGTGGCGAGTGCATCCGAGTGCACCGAAGATACTCTAAAGCGAGTACGCCTCGCACCACATCACATCGCGGCGACATCGAGGGGACGCCTCGGGTTGGCTGGTCCGCCGGAATCCTTCTCATTTGTTTCTCTTGCAGTCGCCAGGCATTCTGGCACTCCCTAGGTTCTGCGGCTGCTAGACCACAAAGGCTGCGTTCTGCAGGCATTTTCCGGGGAGGGGAGGAGGGGACGCGAGGGTGATGACGAGGGTTCTTGGGTAGGTTCCTATTTCGACATCACCCCCTCTTGCTTCAACCGAAAGTGCGAAATTTCGGTTGCGAGGGTGGAAGGCTCTGACAGTAAATGAAGAAAACGCACGCCCAATTTCGCAAGCACAATTCATGGGTAGATATAGCAGGGCGAATGCAGAACGAGGGTTAAAACTTTCAAAAGGGTGTTCCGATGGAAGAAAATCAAACCCCTGCACACACACTCGCCAGACACAAACCTCGATGGTGATGAGGTTTGTGGTGCTGCGACTCTGCTTGGGTTAATCGAGGTTGGAGGTGTTTGGTTTCTAGGGTAGGGGTTTGGTGTTCCCTCTCCCAGCACCTCCCTTCCCTCACCATCGTACCTCCCCGAAAAAGTGGTTTACAGAGGGCGGGGTCATGGCGGGAAAAATTGCCTGTGTAGGAAGGTGGGGAGGGAAAATGCGTGGCTTCCTAGGCCCTCATATCCGTGAGGGTAAATGGCCGTTCTGTTGCCATTTCCTTTCTTTCACGTTCGGAGGGTGAATGGAAGGCTCGGAACCATTTTCCGGGCTGACCACTCTTTCGAACCAAAAAACGCAGTAGGGGGAAGGTTCCTGTGAACCGCCTCTTCCCCCTCTGTCGTGCCTCCAGAACGCAGCCTAGTATTGCATAGTGCTTACATAGTTCGCGTAGTATCTTCTTAGTTCCTGAAAGCATTTCATCACTTTTCGTACGGCCGTACGAGTAATGAGACGTCTCAGATGCCGACCGTGCACAGCTAGCGTCGAAGTGATACCCGGCACGATAGCTGGGAAGCTAGCTAACAAATCTGTCAGTGGCAATCCAAAAGGTTTGGAGTTCGAGAATACAGGACCTGGGATTCGAGATCTCAGGAGAAATTTCGTTCCTTTAGGTTATTAACGAGCTGCTTTTGTTGTATCGCTGTGTGTGGGGCGAGCGTCAGGACAGGAGACGACCGACCACGCACTAGCATTCAGCCTTTAGCATTCAGCCCTCTGAGAAATCTCAAAATAATTTCGCCTCCTCTGAGACGAGACGTCTGAGACGTCTCTAAAGGCTCACGCATTCAGCCTGTCACCCATTACGAACGATACTAACACTCCAAGCAACGAGAAGTCCTTCATGGATACTCCTTCAGCCATGGAGATTCGCTCAGCTCCCACCCCACCCGCGTCATCACCACCATCGCGATCCAGTCGAACGGTCCAGATTTTCGCCGTCCTCCTCGCAATCGCCCTCTTGTTCTTCGTCGCACACGTCCAAACCCGGCCGCCCGCAACCCCCTACGCTCTCCCCCGCGCCCTGCACACCCCCGTCGCCCTGCGCTCTCTCATACAACTCAACTCCTCCGCAGCCTTCGGCGTCGTCCCCTCCGCCTTAAAACCCCGCCCGAATTTCGCTGCCACAGGCGGGGGAAGCAGCAGCAGCAGCACCCGCGGCGGCCGCGGCGGCCGCGGAGGGGGAACCGGCGGGGGGACTGGCGCGGTGTACCTCCGCGAATACAGGCAACCAATGGTGAACGGGAAACCCGAATTCACCTGTTACCACACGGAACACCTGCCTTGCAACGAAGCGGATCGCAAGTTCGGGCCGTCGCTAGACATGATCCGCGATTTAGAGCTCTCACGCGCGGACCGCGAGATGCTGCACGTGCTGCGCCGCTTCCGCTGGCAGCGCGAGGAGCTGGCGCTGCAGGTGCCGCGGAGGGAGAGGAAAGTGGCGTTCATGTTCCTCACTAAGGGAGCCGTGCCTCTCGCTCCGCTCTGGGAGCGGTTCTTCAAGGTACGTGGTGTTGAGTCGAGGCAGGGTAACCCTGGGTCTGAGCAAAGGAGAGGAAGGTGGTGTTCATGTTCCTCACCAAGCGAGCCGTGCCTCTCGCTCCGCTCTGGGAGCGGTTCTTCAAGGTACGTGGTCTGTGGGTGTTAGCAGGAGGAGTCGGGTAGAGTCGGGTGCCTCTTGTTCCCCCCTGAGAACGGATCTTCAAGGTAGGTCCGTCAATGGCGTGTGGTGGGGACAAAATAGCGTGTGCAGGGTTGAACAAGGGAGCGGAAGGTGGCGTCTATGTTCCTCACTAAAGGAGCCGTGCCCCTGGCCCCTCTGTGGGAGCAATTCCTCAAGGGAGGTCCTTTAATAGCGCCAGCTCGAGACAGAGTAACGCCAGGGTTGCTCTCTTATGCCACCTCCCCCACGTGCCACCTCCCCCACGTGCCACCTCCCCCACGTGCCACCTCCCCCACGTGCCACCTCCCCCACGTGCTACCTCCCCCACGTGCTACCTCCCCCACGTGCTACCTCCCCCACATGCCACCTCCCCCGCATGCCACCTCCCCCAGATGCCACTTCCTCCACATGCCACTTCCTCCACATGCCACTTCCTCCACATGCCACTTCCCCCACATACCACCTCCTCCAAATGCCACCTCCCCACCACATACCACCTCCCCCACATGCCACCTGCAGGGTCACGAGGGGCGGTACTCCATCTACGTGCATGCCTCCCCTGACTACACCTTCCCCAAAAACGCCTCCACTCTCTTCAGCAACAACACCATCCGCAGTGAGCCGGTGCGTGTGTGCTTGCGTGCTCTGGGCCAGTTGCCCTTTGAGTTGGCTCAAGAGTCACATTGAGCTCTGAGACGTCTCAAACTCAACTAATGTTTCTTCAAGAACGCCTCTACTCTACCCTCTTCAGCAACAAAGCCATCCGCAGTGAGCCGGTGCGTGCAGGCAGGCAGCATGCTGTCGCATTCCCTCTTCTCCTCCTCTTGAGCTGCTACTATGGGTTCTCCTTACTCCTTCGCTTGTAAGAAGAATTCCTAGAATCAGTTAGTCTAGCCTCTCACAAACACGCCTCGTGGTTGGCCTCTCACTCTATGGTTCTGTGGTTTTCTCTGGGAGAATTCCACTAAGCAAGGTTACACACATCCCATAACATCGAGAGAACAAACAAGAGTGGGTAGACTCCCTCCCCACTGCTAGTTTAGTTCGAACTTGCTAGCGTCTTCCTACCAGAGCACCCACCCCCACACCCGACGGTTTACTCCTTCCTCCGTTTCGAGAATGCACTTCCACCTGGATGTTTCCCAAATCCCGTCATGCCCTCCTGCATGTCACTGTTGCTTATCCCTCCTCCGAATCGCCTTTGTCAAAGTGGGCCCAATTCCACGTCACTGTGGCTCCATTCCGCTCGCTCACCCAATTCGACCACCTCAACCTCCGTCCCTCCCTGTACCCCTCGCAATTCCAGTACATTACCCCTTTCACACCGATATCGCTAAACACCTTAAGCAGTTGTCCCGATAATCTCCACAAGCTCGAATCAAAGGAGATTACCGCGACAATGCTCTTGACACGTCTCACCACTCTTGAGCCGTCCGACACGTCTCATTTGTCTACCTGCCTTTCTGGTTGCCTCAAAGGTTGCCCTGAATCGAGTGGATTCAAAGGTTGTAACTCATCACACCCACATGCATCACTCTCCTCCTCTTTCCTCACTTCCTCTCTCCTCTCCTCCTCCTCCCTCTTCTCCTCGTCTCCCCCTCACCCCGCCACGTGGGATGGGGGCTGCCCACCATGGTGGATGCAGAGAGGCGCCTCATGGGTCAGCTTAAAGCTCCCCCTTTCTTCCTCCTCTCCGCCTCCCCCCTCTTCTTCCTCCTCTCCGCCTCCCCCCTCTTCTTCCTCCTCTCTACCTCCCCTCTCCCCCTCCCCCAGGTGGGGTGGGGGCTGCCCACCATGGTGGATGCAGAGAGGCGCCTCATGGGTCAGCTCAAACCCCCCCCTCCTCTACTTGCTCTCCCCTCCTTCCTTACTGCCTCCCCCAGGTGGGGTGGGGGCTGCCCACCATGGTGGATGCAGAGAGGCGCCTCATGGCTGCTGCACTTGCCGATCCCGCCAACCACCGCTTCGTGCTGCTCTCAGAATCGTACGCCCCTTTTCTTTCGAGTCATGCATTCCATTTTTTTTGTGCCTCGAAAAAGAGACCAGTCATGGCTGCAATGCTTGCTGAGCCCACCGCCTCGTGCGTGCTAGTGAGGTGATTTTTGAGGCACCTCAAAAATCACCTCACTAATGAAATCACTTTTGAGAATTCTCAAAAGGCTGCCATGCTTGCTGAGCCCACCGCCTCGTGCTGTTAGCAAAATCGCACGGCCTTCCTCTCACCGTCGTACGCTTTTCCTCTCAGAACTTGTACGGCCTTGTTGCCATTTTGTGGTTAATGTTAATTTGCTGCCTCACCCTCCCTCTCTTCCCCTCTCCTCCACTTCCCCCTTCCCCACTTCCCATTCCCCCTTCCCCCGTCCTTATCCCCTTCTCCTACCCCATACACACCATCTTTCCTCCCCCCATCCTCTGGTGCATACATGTGAAGAGCTTCAGCTGCAGCTACAGGGGCCACCTGATGCACCTGTAGCTGCCCTAAACCTCGTGCAACCACACCACACCACACCACACACACCCCATGCATCACACCATACTCCATACACACCTCCCTGTCCCCTTCCCTTTCCCCCATCCGCTGGTGCATACCTGTGAAGAGTTCCAACTACGTCTGGGGTCACCTGATGCACCTGTAGCTGCATACCTCGTGTTGTGTCATGCAACCACCCCTCATGCATCACCTCATACTCCATACATACCTCCCTGTCCCCTTCCGTCCCTGTCGAATAGCAGCTGCATACCCGTGAAGAGCTTCAACTACATCTGGGACTACCTGATGGGCACTCGCTACAGCTTCGTCTCCAGGTGATTCCAGGAGGAAGGCTCAGGTGGTTTTTGGAAGGCTCAGGTGGTTGTTGGAAGGCTCAGGTGGTTGTTGGAAGGCTCAGGTGGTTGTTGGAAGGCTCAGGTGGTTGTTGGAAGGCTCAGGTGGTTTTTGGAAGGCTCAGGTGGTTGTTGGAAGGCTCAGGTGGTTGTTGGAAGGCTCGGGTGGTTGTTGGAAGGCTCAGGTGGTTTTTGGAAGGCTCAGATGGTTTTTGGAAGGCTCAGATGGTTTTCTGGAAGGCTCAGGTGCCTCCTTCCTCCCTCACCTGCTTTTTCATTGTCTTCCGAGTGTGGTTGGGATACTGAATACTTCGTTTCCTCCTTTACTCTCTCCCCTTTCTTCCCCCTTCCTCCTTCCCTCATCCCTCCCCTCTCCTCCTATATTTCCTCCTCGCTTTTCTCCTCGCCTCACCCCTCACCCCTCCCCTTGCAGCTTCTTCATTGACCGTCCCGTGTGCTCTGGCCGTTACGACAAGCACATGCAGCCCAAGATCACGCTCAGCCAGTGGCGCAAGGGGTCGCAGGTGAGGGAGTGAGGGCAGCAAGGGGGAGTAACGCTTAGAGGCAAGGGAACAGCGGTCAGGGGTAGGAAAAGAGTAGAGGAATGACAAGCACATGCAGCCCAAGATCACGCTCAGCCAGTGGCGCAAGGGGTCTCAGGTGAGGGAGTGAGGGCAGGCGAGGGATCATCAAGGGCAGAGGAGATGGGGGAAATGGTTAGAGGCGGGGGAACAGGGGTCAGGCGATGGAGAGATACTGCTGTCGAGAGATCTCAAAAGTGGCTCAGCCAGTGGAGAAATGTCGTTACATGAGCAGAGCAATTTATATTGCATATGCAATGACAAGAATACAGGTGTAGGTGTAGATGGAATTAATGTTTGTAATGCCGTGTTCGCACATGGTGTGTGTCGCTTGACTTGCAATTTCTGATCATTTCATGTGTGTGACTGTGAGCATGGATCCTTGTGTGGAACTTGGCATGGCATGGCATGCTTGTGAACGTGCGAATGATGCGCGAGCATGGCATGGCATGGCACATGCGTGTTGGCATGTAGCGGCACATGCATGCGGTCATAATGCTATGGCAAATGTGTGCGGTCATGCTATGGCACATGCATGTGGGCATGTTGTGGGACATGCATGTGGGCATGTCATGTAATGGCACATGCGTGCGGTCATGTTCTTCTGACACATGCATGTGGGCATGGCAGTGGTTTGCAGCCACGAGGAGGCATGTGAACATCATCATCGATGACGACACCATTCATGCGCTCTTCCAAAAGTACTGCCGGGTGAGTCCCTTCACTCCTATTATCACCTCTTCTCTTTTGTCACCTCATTACTTGCCTCATATTCTCTAGGCTTGATTCTTGGGAAATCTGGAGGAAAGAGCCTGGTCCAGCAAGTTTCCTAAAAAAAAAAAAAAAAAAAAAAAAACCGTGAGTTAACCCTGCGGTGGTGCAGAATCCATTCACAGGATTAGAAGGAAACTCGAAGTTCTGCAGTGTTTACCACTAGATGAGCAATTGCTGTCATCACTGTGAAATGGCAGCATGCAGTGTTCTTATCAGGAGCAAAATTTTCGAGCTGTCTCAAAACTCAATCACAGTAAAACGGCAGCATCCAGTGATTCTGACCTAACACAAGCTGTTTCTCAACACAAGCATCCAGTGTTTCTCAACTAAACACCATCTCTTTGGTCTACTCTCCCATGCCTGTCTGCTGCCGTCTCTTTTGCTTGGGCCAATGACAGGGCGACAAGTGGCATCACCACTGTTACGCGGACGAGCACTACATTCCAACCCTTCTCAATGTGCGCTCCTTTCATCATTCCTGCTCCTCCTCTTGCTCCTCTTGCTGCTTTTGCCCCTCCCCACTTGCTTCTCTTGCTCCATTTGCTCCTCATACCCCTCTTGCTCCTCTTGCTCCTCATACCCCTCTTGCTCCTCTTGCTCCTCTTGCTCCTCATGTCCCTCTTGCTCCTCTTGCTCCTCATGTCCCTCTTGCTCCTCTTGCTCCTCTTGCTCCTCATGTCCCTCTTGCTCCTCTTGCTCCTCTTGCTCCTCATGCCCCTCTTGCTCCTCTTGCTCCTTCTGCTCCCCTTCTGAACCCAATGTCAATTTCATATGCCACTGAAATCCACTTTTCCTCCTCTGCATGCTCGTCTCCCGTGTGTCTCTCCTCTTTCCCCCTCTCTTTCCAGGCAGATGCAGGACCTGGCCTAATAGCCAACCGCACGATAACCTTCTGAGTCGACGCAAACTTTTGAAGGCTTTTGAGGCGACTTTTCAGGCGACTTTTGAGGCGCCTCAAAGCCAGATGCAGGACCTGGACTAATGGCCAACCGCATGCTAACCTTTTGAGTCAGCACAAACGTTACCCCGTCCCCTGCCTCTCCTCCAATGACTCTCCTCCACTGTCTGCTCGTCCTCTGTCTCTCTTCTCCTCTCTCTGGTCGCGTGGCCAACCGCACGATCACCTATGTTGACTTCCCTCCCCTGCAGCAGCAGCAGCAGCAGCACGGGGCAATCTGACCCAGCGCACCATCTCTGAATCCATTCTCCCTCCGCCGTCGTCTCCTGTCTCCCCCTTTCTCTCAACAGATAAAGGAGCCTGGTCGCGTGGCCAACCGCACCATAACCTATGTGGACTTCCCTTGAAAGCTACCTCGTTTGCTCACCCCCTGCCTCTCCTCTCGTCGCAGATAAAGGAGCCTGGTCGCGTGGCCAACCGCACCATAACCTATGTGGACTTCCCTTGAAAGCTACCTCGTCTGCTCACCCCCTGCCTCTCCTCTCGTCTCCCGCAACAGATAAAGGAGCCTGGTCGCGTGGCCAACCGCACCATAACCTATGTGGACTTCCCTTGAAAGCTACCTCGTCTGCTCACCCCCTGCCTCTCCTCTCGTCTCCCGCAACAGATAAAGGAGCCTGGTCGCGTGGCCAACCGCACCATAACCTATGTGGACTTCCCTTGAAAGCTACCTCGTCTGCTCACCCCCTGCCTCTCCTCTCGTCTCCCGCAACAGATAAAGGAGCCTGGTCGCGTGGCCAACCGCACCATAACCTATGTGGACTTCCCTTGAAAGCTACCTCGTCTGCTCACCCCCTGCCTCTCCTCTCGTCTCCCGCAACAGATAAAGGAGCCTGGTCGCGTGGCCAACCGCACCATAACCTATGTGGACTTCCCTCCCCTGCAGCAGCACCCCACGTCCTTCCTTCCGCCCAACATCACAGAGGACCTCTTTCAGAACATCACGGTGAGTTGAGAAGGCGTGGGCGGTGCGTGCGCGGGGCGTTTGTCAACAATTTGTTGGTGTTAACGGGAAGCAGCAGCACCCCACGTCCATCCTGCCGCCCAACATCACAGAGGACCTCTTTCAGAACATCACAGTGAGTGGGGAGGGCGTGTGCGGTGCGTGTGCTAAACATGTGTTGGTGCTTATGGGGAATCAACGCCATTGACGCCCTCCTTTTGAGGCGCCTCAAAAATTGTTTATGGGGAATCAACGTCACATTGACGCCCTCCTCCCTCCCAACATCACAGAGGACCTCTTTCAGAACATCACAGTGAGTTGGGACACGTGTGTGGGTGTGTGGGTTTGGAGAGGGGAGAAAGAAGGGGGGAAGAGTGGGGGATATGTGCGTGAGTGGAGGGCTTTTCTCTCTTGCAGCAGCAGCACCCCACGTCGTTCCTCGCTCCCAGCATTACGGTGAGTGGGAAGGGCGTGTGCAGGGCGTGTGTTGGGCGTGTGTTGGGAGGGTGTTGGTGCGTACACAGAATTGGCACCGCCCCACGTCCTTCCTCCCTCCCAACATCACTGTGAGCTGAGAAGGCGTGTGCGGGGCGTGTGTGGTGCGTGTGTTGGCCGTGTGCTGGGCACGTCTTGGTGTTTATGAAGAATCAGCAGCACCCAACCTCCTTCCTCCCTCCCAAGATCACTGAGCATCTCTTTCAACATCACAGTGAGTTGAGAAGGCATGTGTGGGTGTGTGTGGAGGTGTGGGTGTGGGGAGGGGGAAAAGAGGGGGAACAGGGAGACATGTGAACGAGCGGAGGGCTTTTTCCACGAGCGGACAGCAGAAGCCCAAGTTCTTTCAATGAGCACTGAGCAGAGCCTCCCAACATCACTGAGCACCTCTTTTGAAATATAGTTTTGAGGCGCCTCAAAACTAGCCCACGTTCTTTCAATGCTGCCGGCCAACATCACTGAGCACCTCTTTTGAAATAAATATCACAGTGAGTAGGGCGGCAGGAGATCATGTGGCTGTTTGTGGGTGTGTGTGTGTTGGGTTGCGTTTGTGCGCATACGTATGAGTGTTTGCTGTGGGCGGGGGAGAGGAGAGGAGAGGAGGGGGGAGGGATGTGCAGTGCATGAGTGCAGGGCTTTTTTCTCTTGCAGGCACCACCCTAATGTTCACTTTTGAGAATTCTTGGAAGAGGGGGAGAGGGGTGCGGGAGGGGGGAACGTGCGTGAGTGCAGGTTTTTTCTTTTTTGCAGGTCCTCCTTCCCAACTTCAGGAACGTGCGGGAGGGGGGAACGTGCGTGTTGTGCAACGCAACGCCTGAAACACCAATTGCACTCAGGAACGAGCGTGTGATTATGTCAGGGGCACACAGGAACGAGCGTGTGATTATGTCAGGGGCACACAGGAACGAGCGTGTGATTATGTCAGGGGCACACAGGAACGAGCGTGTGATTATGTCAGGGGCACACAGGAACGAGTGTGTGATTATGTCAGGGGCACACAGGAACGAGCGTGTGATTATGTCAGGGGCACACAGGAACGAGCGTGTGATTATGTCAGGGGCACACAGGGCTGTGTTAGCGTACCGTATATGATTGTGTGAAGGCTGTGCTAGCTGGTTGTGAACTCAGTCGGCTGCATTTCATCTCATCCATGCCACATGTGCTTGCTTCCTTGTGTATTTTCTCTACATTTCTTCCTGCCTTCCTGTCTCTTCATGCTCTCAGGCCGTCCTGTTTTTGCGTGCTCTCATACCTTCCCACCTCTGTCCATGCTCCTTATGCTTCCTTGTGTGTTGGTCTCTGTCACGCTTCAGGAGCCCCTGGATTACAGTCTCATCAATGTGGTTGTGAGTCTCCTTCTGCGCTTGACCTTAGTCTCGTGACCTCTTAGCCTCTTATCCTCTTATCCTCTTAGCCTCTTATCCTCTCTACAGTCACTCTGTCACGCTTCAGGAGCCCCTGGATTACAGTCTCATCGACGTGGTTGTGAGTCTCCCTGTGCTCTTGGGTTTCGCCTCCTGACCACTTACCCTCGTATCCTCTTATTCTCTTATTCTGTTATTCTCTTATCTCTTATTCTCTTTTCCTCTTATACTCTTTAAGGCTCTCAGCATCTGCCCTTGTCTCTATTTCTCTACAGTCACGCTGGCCTCCAAGCATCACTGTCTCCGAGGCGCCCCAGGCAATGTCCCCTCATCATCGCTGTTTTGGCCCCTATTCCACTTCACATTAAATTTCCTAACACCATGTACTGGATATGTTCAGAATACAGTGTTATCTTCTAAAATTATCATATTCCATGCGTATTCCACACTTCTGCAGTTGACCTGCAAAGTTGACCTGCAATCAGCACAAATGGCCTGACAAGAATGTGTTCCCTCTCTCCTTCCTGCGCCCTGTGCTGCTCTCATGTACCCGTCTCTTCACGGTTTTTTTTTCGCCGGACCACCTCTGTCAGGAGCATCGAGAAAAGACTCCTCAGAGTGTAAGGGTTCATTGTGGGACGAAATGGAAGGGTGGGGGGGGGAGGGGGAGGAGACGGGGGAGATGGGAGAGGAGGGGAGGGGGTGGGTGGGGAGAGAGGTGGAGAGGGGAGAATGAGTGGATGGAGTGTGAGGAATCAGGGGGGTTGAAGAGGTAGGAAGAGGAATAATAGTCAAAAAGAGGAGCAGGGCAGGGGGATTGGAAGGGCAGGGAGAGGAAGTGAGACAGGTGCGTAGGAGTTTGTGGAGACAAATTCGGGGGGAGTGAATGAAAGGGCTGAGGGACTGGATTTCTGTTTCCCTTAATCACGAAATATTCTTTGTCCTTGTTTGTTGCCTCGACTGCAGGCGTACACACTACCATGCTCTTTGAATGGAAAGAAGCGGACCTGCTTTTTATTTGCGCGGAAATTTCCCCCCAGTGCACTCCCTGCCCTGCTATCCCTTTCCGAGGACATTTTGGGGTATTGATTGCATCGTAGAACCAAGCACCTGTGTGTTGGGCTGAGAAAAGCCCTTAGGATCGTTTTCAAGACTCAAGTCTCAGAGTAGTGATGTATTAGCGGAAGCGTAATAGTGAACTAATTGAACCACCTTGCACTGGTATGTGATTACAAAGGAATGTGAAATGTTTCACTCACTGTAACTGCTGTTGCGGTTCGATACAGCGACGACTCCGGTAACTGCTCAATAGTGAGTCAGTTATGTGTCCTTGTTGTCGCGCTGCTTTTCGGCGAGTCAAGGTCGCTGACCTTTGACCTTCACTCAACCTCTTGTTGTTGTCTTTCTGTCAACCGCTTTGGTTGACTCCCTGTTGCTTCGCTTCAGTCCGCTTCGCTTTTGTTGTAGTGCTCGACACATCAGAAGCGCGAACTACATGTTTCCAACACTCCCCTTCGCTTCTGAAGTGTCGTTGCCTTCGATGCTGATGACGTGGCTTTGTCCAATCAACAGCATGCAGTACTCGAACTCCTGCTTTCCAAGTTTCTTGGTCAAGTAATCTGCTGCCATCTCGGACGTGGGGCAGTAGGATAGCTCGAGTCTCCTTTTCTCGATCTCGTCCTTCACGAAGAAATAGCGCAGGGCAATGTGCTTCGTTCGGTTCGCGAACCCGCTCTTGTTCGCTATGCGAATTGCAGATTGGTTGTCGCAGAAGAGGGAGAAGTTGGGTAACTGGGCCAGCTTTGCTTCTTCCAGTAGTTCGCGAAGGTACGGTCCTTCCTTGGTGGTTGAGCAGAGTGCTATGTATTCAGCTTCAGCAGAGGAGAGAGCAATTAGTTCTTGCTTGCTCGACTGCCACGAGATAGGACCGATGGGCTCAAGTCGATAGATGTAGCGGTGCGCGATTCGCCTGTTATCAGAATCGTCTGCGTGGTCAACATCTACGTAGCCGATTAGCTTTGGAGTAGTGGTTCCGGTCTTGTGGTAGGTTAGGCCGATCGTTGGCGTGCTGACGAGGTAGTGTAAGGCGCGGTCGAGTTCGGCCATGTGCTCTGCTTCGGGCCGCTTGAGGTTGTTAGCAAGCTGACTCGCTGAGTATGACAGATCCGGTCGGCAGGTGACGGCTGCGAAGAGCAGACAGCCTAGTTTTCGTTGGTAGTCGCGTAGGCTGGTAGGTCAAAGCAGGCTAGATTTTTCCTGCTGATTTCCCGTGGTGTAGCGCTAGGGCGTGGAAATGGAGGCTGGCGTCAGTCCGAAGCGTTTTGCGATGGTGTCGGCGTATTTTGTGGCGCTGAGGTAGATCGCGTTCTCCTCGTCTATAATGTTGAGTCCAAGGTAACTGGGTCATGGTAGAGGAAACCGCGAGTGAGAGATCCTGTTGCAGCTCCCCTTTAAACCAGTTGGTGATGCCGTCGGTGGAGCATATGTAGAGTAGGTCGTTTACATACACGATGAGCAGAATGTAATCAGCTTCCTTTGTGAGCCTGTGCATGCCCTGGTCGTGTGGTAGTTGTTGAAAGCCAATGCGGATTAGTCGGGCGTGTAGGTACTGCTGCCACAGCCGCGGAGCTTGCTTGATGCCATACAAGGATTTCACCAGCTGACAGACTTGATTAGGGTCTGTGTCGGATCCGTGTGGTTGCTCGACAAAGATTTCGGCGTCGACGGGAGCGTAGAGAAATGCGTTAGCCACGTCGATTTGGCGAAGCTTCTTCTGCTTCATGGCGGCTATCGCGAGGAGGATTCGCAAAGAGGTATGTCGGCTGACCGGCGCAAAGGTTTCGGTGAAGTCTCGTCCGTGTTCTTGGTCGAAGCCACACACGACCCATCGTGCCTTGAATATATCAATTGTTCCATCAGCTTTCGTCTTCATGCGGAAGACCCATTTTCCTGTAAGAATGGTTTTGTTGCGCGCCAGTCCGATGGGTACTATCTTCCAGGTGTTTCTGTCTTCCAGCGCCTTTTATTCCCTGTCCATGGCTTCACGCCATTTTTCCCTGTGTTCCCCCCCCAGAGCCTGCTGAACCGTAGTAGGCTCTCGCGGCATTGGTGCGCCATGGACTTCGGTGACGAGTCCAAGAATCTGCAGCCCACTCTGTGTGTAGCGAGGGAGATTTGGGTCCTCGGGATAAACTGCATTGTCTCCCGCTTCTGGATCGGGTAAGAAGTTGGGGCTTATGCGTTCTGAAACGTTTGTGTTGACTGGCTGTGGTGTAACGTAAGCGTTGTCGGCGAAGTCGTAGTAGACTTCGGCGTTGATGCTTTCGCGAGGATTTTCGTCGTCCATCGGAACAGGTACCAAGCAGTAGGGAAGAGGTCCGGCTTCCTCGGATGCTCCGTCCACGTTTTGCTCATCCCAGTCAGCCTCATCTGCTGGTGTGGCGAAGGCTCGGTTGCCACGGAAGCCGCCCGTGAGGTCTCGTTCTGCTGCCAAGTTGTCCAGGTACGTTTGGAGAGTAAGCCGCTTGTAGAAAATCACGTCACGTGCTGCTACTGTTTCCTTCGAGTGGGCGTCGAAGATTTTCCAAGCGTTGTAGTTTTTTTCGATGCCCATGTGTAGTCCCCACTGTGCGCGTTGTGAGAATCGTCTAGCTCGTGCAGTGTGTGGTCGGTACTGTACCATGCAGCCAAAAACTCGTAACATTTTTGTGTTGCCCAATTTTCCTGTCCACAGCAGATGCGTTTCAGAAACAAGAAGTGATTGAAATATGAAAGATCGAGTACAAGTATGAAACTCTAGAGTTGTGTACCCCCTAAAGGCTAACCCACTATAGCCTACACAGCAATGACATATAGATAATGTTTGACACACCCCCATAGGCAAAGTGGGGGAGAGCAAGGGGTCACAAGACCAGTCAAGAAAGGCAAAGCAAGCTCAGGGTGGATCACAACGTCACCACACACTCTGAGCACAAGCAAAGGGCCACAGGGCCAGTTCAAATGAAGAGGCATATATGCAACACAAACAGCAAGGTGATCTCAACCTAGCAAAGCAAACAGGCAGGTATATATATATATAGAGAGATCACAGTACAGACAAGCCTACAGTAAGTGAGGAAAAGTGGGCACAAGCCCCAGTATAGTGCAGAAGCGCTGATGATCACCAGGCTGAAGTGCCTTGGTGAATATATCAGCGGTGTTGGCCCGAGTGGCCACGTAACGCAGACAAAGCTGACCGCGCTGCTGCAGCTCTCGAGCCAGGAAGTAACGGAGAGCGATGTGCTTCGTTCTGTGCTCCAGTCTGTGCTCCTCACACAAGGCAATGGCAGCCTTGTTGTCGACGTACAGCACTGGAGGAGAACTAGGCCGCTCTCCCAAGTCGGTCAGCAGGTAGGTCAGCCAGCGTAGCTCCTGTGCAGCCATGGCTGTGGCGTAGATCTCAGCCTCACAACTGGAGCTGAGAACTGAAGACGAGCGAGTAGAACGCCAAGAAACTGAACCAGAGCCAAGGCTGAAGGTGTAACCCTGTGACGACCGCTGAGTAGCCTGGTCGTCAACCCAAGAAGTGTCTGAGTGCCCAGTGAGAACAACTGAGCGCCTCCCTCCAAGCACGAGCCCCATGCCTGACGTACTGCACAAGTAACGCAGTACCCTCTTAGCAACATCCATGTGCACCTTTCGGTGCCGACCAGGAGCCACGTAGCGAGCCAGAAGGCCAAGAGGGTACGCGAGGTCAGGACGAGTGCAAGTCATCAGGTACATGAGGCAACCAACTAGCTCTGGGTAAGGACCACTCGGCTCTACGGACTCGTCCGAAGGTGGAGCTGAGAGCGAGTGACCTGTAGCCAGAGGAGTGGTCTGTGCCGAGGACCAGGTGAAGCCGAAGCGCTGAAGGACCTGCTGCACCATGTGTGACTGAGTCAGTGTGATGGTGCGGCGTGCTCTGTCCCGGGTGATCCGCAAGCCAAGATAGCTTGTCAGCTCACCCAGGTCTGTGCACGTGTGTCTCTTCTGCAGCTCCGACTTCACGTGGGCGAGAGCCTCAGTGTCAGCAGTGGCAAAGACCAAGTCGTCGACGTACACGAGGATGTAGAACGGCGGCAGTGAAGTGTCGGTGCGTAGAAACAGCGACGGGTCGGCAGTAGAAGACGAGAACCCAAGAGCCGCAAGTGTAGTCCTCAGTGTGTCGTGCCACTCACGTGGAGCCTGGCGGAGACCGTAGACCGGCCGCCGGAGGCTCCACTGGGTACCAGGAGGAAACGACTCAGTGAAGCAAGGAGGGCGGCGTAGCCAGATCTCCTCGTGCAGGCTGCCCTGCAAGAAAGCTGTGCTGAAGTCAAGAGAGTGAAGCTCGTAGTCACGCTGAGCGGCAACGTGCAGTAGCACCCGAAGAGTGGTCATCTTCAGGGTGGGGGAGAAGGTCTGAAAGAAGTCTACTCCCTCTCGCTGACTGAAGCCTCGAGCAACGTACCGAGCCTTGAAGACAGGCGGAGAACCTGGCGGCCGCTTCACCCTGAAAATCCACATGCCACTGACGATGTTCGCCCCAGGAGGGGGAACCTCGTCGACGTAAGTGCCAGTGGACTTCCAAGATGCCATCTCTGCATCCATGGCTGTCTAC